CTTTTTATTCCAGAGGTTCTCAATAGGTTTTTAACAATCTTCATTAATGTTAATTTTAAGCACTCTTTTGCAGTTTGATTGGCTACAAAGTAAACGTGTGAAATGTTCCAATTTAACTTTCAAATATTTTGAATGATCTCACCGATTTGAATAAAAAACTGTAAGACCATCGTTTTGCTTTAATTTAATAAGGAAGAAAATTGCACTAACTTGTAACCGAAAAAGGAATAAACCTTTTTTTGTTGCTTAGATATACCAAAAATGTTAGTATTATGTCATCTATTCCAGGCGGTTATGACTCAGTGAAACTCAGGTAAAAGGTCAAACCACTTCTCATTCAAACATAAATTTTAAAAACCATACAGGACACTCGTCGAACTACTGTGGCTCCTCTAAGCTTTCACTTTAGTCAGCCAACTTAATTTCGACATATATATACCCACTTGCCGACAACCGTTTCAGCCGGATGTTACTATAAATTATACCTTATTGTTACCATTGTCATACATACGCTGCGACCAGATAAAATAGTTGGCCCAGGAAATGACAAAAAAGGGGGATTTATAATCGAGATAAGTCCTATAATTAGGTACAATAATTAGTGTTAATTTAATTTAAGCACCTACTAAAATATTTTAATTAAAATGTTGGTATTCATACTTCTACCCTATTCATATTTCCACTGTTAATTTGTTTCTTTCTTTTATTAGATGTGGCATATAAGATAACTTGAATAAAACAGTAGGTAACTGAAGTACTGATTATAGATACTTTTTCACCAGAGTTTTGAAATATATTTTGTTTTTCCCCTGTTTATTAGATTTTTTGAAACATGAAAAAAAAAATAAAAACTTGATTAAATAAATCCTTGCTCCAAAAGGATCGGTCAAATTTAAATTAATTTATTTTCGCCTAACCAAAACTCTTAAATTCAAACGCAGACAAATAAAAAGTACCTACACATCAGTATCTATGTCAAAATCAATATTTTTTAATTTTTAAAACTGAGAATGGCGTTTCTTTTTTAACTAGGTTTGACAGTTTAACTTTGTATATCTTCTTCCATATAGATTTAAAGGAAACTGTAAATAAATGTTTGTACGATGGAGCCAAATGGTTTATTCAAAATATGAACAATTACATAATTGAAATTCTGAAAAAAAAGAACTACTAAGCAATCAATACCCTAAAAATCTTGCATTAACGAAGTTTTTAAAAATACTGAAAGTAACAAATTATATATATATATATATGTATAATAAAACATTTAGAAATTACAGATTAACGCAAAGGTTATATAAAAAAATTACATTGGCGATTCAAAACTTTGAAACACGGTCATATTTTCAATGGGATGTGGCCAAAATGGAAAATAAAAATAGCACCGTTAAAATAAAATTAAATGATACCACGATTATTTTAATAAACAGTGAAAAATGTCCTACATTTATCAGTGAATTTTTTAAAATAAAGCTCTGATTCAATGAAATATCGTTTTCGTAGAGTTATTTTTCTCACACTTGGTACTTATTTAGATATTAATACCAAATAAAATATAAAACAAATTGTGTGTATAGTTGGTACGATATCAATTGAAACCTGTGAATCTTAAAGCACAGGACCATCTGCACTTCTCTTGAAATTTATTCCTATGCTTTAGCCATGATGTGTCTCGTAATTTATACTCGAATAGCCATTGGGCGAGTCCGGTATCGGTAGACCAGTCCGCCTGATGTAGAATCGACGGCGGCGCGCTGGTCGTCTAAGCAAACCTGTATTGGTCCACTGGGTCGTAAATAATTTTTTACATGGTATTATATAATTAGTTTGGTGTCAAACGCGGTTCACTTGGCTTTGTCAGTGCCGTAGAGAGCAGTGCTTGGCGTGGTATATTTATTGTTGGTATATACTATTAACTAATAATTAATAAGAAGTGGATCTTATTTGTGGAAGGGCGAAATGGGCGGTGACTATTAGACGCCTTCATTATAGCCATCTTTCTCTATCGCACGGATTTCTATAACTTCGCTCTCACGTAACGGACGATGAACCATGGGGACTTTCCGACACTGTATATTCAAGTTTCATTGAAATATCTTGAAAAGTAACAAAGTTATCTTCAAAGATTACAACATTAAAAAACCTTAAGAATGTCAAAGCATACCAAGGTAACTTGGTCTAAATTGGTTTAATCGCCAAAATAAGTCATCTTTGAAGTATTGCCTTTCCTCTTCCGGAGATAAAAATACAAATCTTAATACATACCTAATATTTTTTTATACTTATACCTACTAACTTTCAAATTTTAAATTTTAAATTCAAATGCCTACTTCATAATTCTCTTAATATTTAAACGACTTGTTAAAGTAAGTAAAAACAAACTTTTTAAATAATATGTAAATTACTTAAATATGTACTTAAAAGATTCAAATTCTATTCAATTTTATTCAAATGTCGACTACTTATAAATAATTCTAGTAAATAAATAAAGTTTTTCTAAAATTTCTCATTTTTAGAATGAATATTTTTGAATGCAAATGTACCTACACATTAGTAAGTATTAGGTAAAATCAATTAATTAAAATTTAAAGTAGTCCGGAAACCTAAATACTTAATTTACATAAATAAAATGGTACAGATATGTAAAGATGACTAACATTGTAAATTACAATAATATCGTGGCTTAAATAATTTCCAGCGACCTCGAGAGTAAAATAAGCAGGAAGCTCTCTAAAATAACACATTTTACATTGGTACATCACAGTCATGCGTTGCAGAAAAAAGTTAAGGACATTTAAATTTTAAATAATAATTGTTGGAAAACAGGTTACATACATGCAATACCTTTTTACCTCTTAGTTCACTTCTACAATGTTCTACTTATAAAAAATGCGTCTAATCTACTTATTGTTAGTGCTACAATAGCGTTTGATTTAAAAACGAAAATTAGATTTACTTATTGGTAACCTCTTACTGTATTTTTTTTTTTCATTTGTACTACCTACGTATCTACTCAACTGAAATACAGTATAGTTATCTCAAAAATTAAATAGGTACTCTTTAATTAGCTTCCTAATGCCCTTGTTCAAATTCAAATTAACTGATTATAAATTACAATTAGTTTCTCTATATCTAATACCTGCACATTTCTAGTGACCCCAATAGGCACATAGAGAGGTAACCCCCACATTCTTGTAGGTATTAGTAGTATTGAAAATGCTAATAAGAATACGCACATAAAAAAAATCCATGCATAATTAGATTTTATTTATTAATTCATTCCCAAGGAATGCTGATAAAATATATAAATAATGTTATAATATTATTAATCCTTAAATTACCTATAACTAATTCAAAATTTTTAAATTAAATTCAATAACCAGTCCTTTTTTTCTCAACCAAGACACACTTGAGGATTTCATTGTAATAACAATTATTATTATATACCTAAAGGTAATTGTTTACTATACAGTTCGAACATTATACAAGATGCTGTAGCGACATGTGCTTTTAATGATAACAATTTACTTGTAATACAATTATTACGCATACAGGGTGTTCTACTTAAAACGGATTCTTCGGTAGCTCTGATATCAATAATACAAAAGAATGCCCGAACTAATTGTAAGAGTTGCATGAAACCAGTATCTTTATTAATTTATTAAATTATTCTCGACTATACAGGGTGTTCCATTTCATAAGGAGCATTACCTAACTTCCCATTGAATTTTAGGGATTACACATTATGACCCTGTCGTTGAAAATATTCGTTTAACTTTAATAAAATTTTGTAACGAACAGTTTTTTTTTATTTTCCTTTTTAATTTGACAGAAATACTCAGTCAGATAAAAAGAGAAAATCGGATCAAATTTTTTTAATTTATATCATTTATTAATTTATATTTTTATTTTGTTTTATATATGGAGCAGAATATTACGTATTGTTTATTTATTGAATATTACTGTTCAGAATTAGCGTTACGATTTTTTGGTTAGAAACCCCCTTTTTGCCAGTGCTGCCAACTCAACAATAATTATAACTTCAAGCAGGGAGACTAAAGAAGGAGACCAAACCTAAACGGGATAATTGACAAAACCTGTCAATATAATTGTACAAATTACATATAATTTTTACCACTAGTGTCGCTAGTTTTCCTTTTGCACCGAAGTTAATGTAGTATGATAAATACGAGTGAAGTAAGCAAACAACCAATTTTATTTTAATATGGATAGAAATGCAGTAACCTAGAAATCAAAATAATTACTGCAATTTGTTTTTAAGAATTTATTAAATAAAAAGTTTCCTCCCCTCCACTATTTCGGTGCATATGCATTGGGATAGAATTCCAGGATAAAAATAAGCCAATAAAGTTCTGGTATCAGAGCTACTGTAACAATTTACCGCAGCAGGAGCGTGCCTTGAAATTTTCCGCGTTATAATATAATAAATAAAATTATTCACGTTAAACACGATACACTTCGCCTGGAAATTAAATTCCTTTATCTTATTTTTCACCACCCTTGATTTATTTTAATAAGAAATTACACTGAAAAAGCCCATGACGATGCACTTACGCCTTCTTAACTGCAAAACACGGTATGCACTGTAAGCTGTTACGGTGTCGGGTGTCGAATACGGTTAATTCCAAGAAAGTGACGCAGGAGTTTTGGAATTCTATCTCAAGAAATACCGCATGAACTGTAACTATTCATTATTTCTTTAATGTACTGAAAATTAACACTAACCAATCTAAACATATAATGTGCATTTATTCCACTTGTTTCTGACTATAAACACTGTCTACAATACTTTTTCTTTCAGCGTACACACACAAAAAACAAAGCTCCTAATATATTCCACTCTCACATAGACGCACTCCCATCGAGAGACCTCCGATCAGCTGAGTCACGTTTTATTTCACAACAGAGCACTATCCATTCCAATAACGAATGGACGCCCATCCCAATTGCGTATTCATGAAATTCTTTCTTTGTTACAGCGCCCAAGCCTTGTGCCGATCACACGTGCAGGATGTTCTGTCCTCACGGATTCGCCCTCACCGACGACGGATGTCCTCTGTGTCGATGTAGGGACCCTTGCGACGACGTGAAATGTCCCAACGCCCTGGAATGTCACCTGGAGGAGCTCGCCTGCGCAGATCCACCCTGTCCTCCTGTACCAACCTGTAAGATTCTTTTTGGCGTATCCTACTTTTTTACGTTACTTTCGAATTCCAAAATTCGTTTCCACGTGATCGATTTTATTTTACTTTATTACGACTTGACTGTGTTTGTTGTAAATACACAGGGTGTCAAAAAATAGTGTACTGGAATGACACAAAAACATTATATAATCTAGTAAAGAGATTAATGGGTTTGGGGCAATGAATATAGAACTACTTAAGGCTATTTGAATCACTTTATATCACTTAAATCACTGTCAAAAAAATTTTAATTTACTCGAGTTGTCAGGAGGGTAATATTTTTAACAAAAAAATTGTATAACCTATTAATTTCAATTCTCCTTGTGAGCATATTCTTGCATTTTTTTAACTTTTTGCATAAGTGACACTGAAGAGAAACTAAAAAGAAATACTTAATATTTATGGAAATGTCACTTGGTCGTTATATAAAAGTAAAGAAAAGGAAAGGAGCAACTAGCAACATCTGATTTCTAATAATGAATCTCAAACTTCAGGAAACTTCATCGATTATTATAATTAACAGAAAGACATTTCCCATTACAAAGTGAACGAACTGAAAGAAAGAGAACCAGATAAGAAAGATCAAGAGCTTTTTAATTATCGAATAATTACAATGTAGTGTAGGAAATTCTTGTTAACCATTATGGTTATAAGAAAGACTTTTTATAATGGTTGATTCAATTTGTATTTTATTCATTATTGACGAAGTGTTTTATGAATTAATCCACTGATTTATTCAAGAAATATTTCTAGACTTCGCGAACATCTTTAATGCGAAAGTCAGTACTACCAGTCGTGCAACCAAAGTTGCAGGAAATGAAAATAAATAGAAAGTGATTGCGTGTTCTTCAACCACATGAAAATTGATGTCTTTTATTAGATGCTATGAAAAAGATATAATCCTACTATGACGATCAAAAATATAACTTTTTACAAAATTATTATGTGAACATTTGTTGGTACTGGTTCTGAACACTCAAAAATTGACAAAAATTGTACCGTATTTTAATGTATGAAAATTATGAATTTCTTTAATAACAAGCTTGGTAGATTACAAGTATTCAATATTTTTTCATAAGGCTTTATTATAAATTAATTATCACTAACTTATTAGAATGAAAAAATCGCGGTCAAAAAATATACCTGAATACGAATCGACCATACTTCGAGAATTGTCTTCCAAGATAGAACTAAACCAATTTAGATTAAGTTGCAATTTTGCTTCTTAAAAAACTTACGGGTCTTTTTTCAGTTTTTTACAATAATTTCAGCACTTATTATTATGGATAGAAAGGTTTTTCGGATGGGCAAAGATGAATATAATCTTATTTGTTACCTAAAGCACGCAAGTCGCTAAGAATACCTGGAAGACTCATCTGTTTCTTGCCGAGTTTAGTTGATAGACAATTTTATTTGAGTATAAGTGAGATATAATAATCTTAATTGTCATTGCTACTTGGTGGCTACTGGTACAAAGTATTGCCATTGCTACTAGCACAGAGTGACCTATTAAGTTCTACCAAGACTATCAAAGAAACAGGATGGCTACTCTTTGGGATATTCTTAGCAATCCCTTTGTGTTGGGTAAGAAATTTAGAATTATTTTATGCTCATTTTCGGCGATTATTTTCAAGACCTGCCTATACCAAACTTCACTGGAATATCTAAATAGGTAAGGAGTTACTTCAAAACAAACAGATATATAGGGCGTAAGAAGTTTAACTGCCATTACTTCAGCATGAGATAGAGTAATCATAAATGAACAAAAAAGTTATATATTACAAGGACGTAAGATTAACAGTTTTCAAAATACAGCGAGTATTAATATTGGGGATTTTCATCACAACGTGACAACAGCGCTTAACCGAACGCTGCACAGCTGATGCATACCACGTGTGCACGCCGCAGACTTGTCCTACGGAAAAAATGTAATCAACTATTACTGTGGAACATTTAGTAAATTTCAAGACAATTATTTTCCAGTTTTTAAATAAATAAAATAAAATGTATCGATTTTGTAGTACGAAGATAGTGTTGTGCTTAAATTTTAGCTCCAATTTTAGTAATTATGAATCTCTTAAAACAGGAGTTTAACTTTTAATCAAATTATGAATTTGAAAAATATGTAATTAAAGTACCCAAAGATTCACGTCATCCAAATAATCATACGTATTATAAATAATTCAGGTATTTACCAAAAGGCAAAATTCAGTAATTTTTAACGACGATACCTTCGAATCCAATTTTCGCGCACTCTCTGGAAAACACTACAAGAAAAGGAAATAGTGGTGCGCAAAAAAAGGAAATAGTGGTGCGAAAAAACACTCAGACACGGTCCAATTCCAGATACCAACTGAATTACGTAATGCTGGACAGCTTAGTACCACGTGTTATCCGCCGCGCCGTTGTGATATTGCTCGATATGAATTTTAAATTTATTACAACGCTAATTATTTTTTAAAATTAAACACAAAGAAGTTAAAAAATGTGATAAACATTGTATTTTATGGTATTCTATATATGTTAAAATTAAAGCAGTGAAACTTCAAATACCCTGTAGTTTTTGAAAGCCCTCAAGTTTTTAAGGAAGCAAAATTGTACAAATTTAACTTAGATAATAGAATAATAATAAAATAAGTATTATAGATGTTAAAATATCAATATATAATAATGCTTTGAAAACAGGTTACATCGTACAACTTTTTCAAGATATCATATTTTAACGTAGTGAACACTCTGTATCGGCCTATCGGCTATAGAAGAATCCCAGCGAAAGTCCATGAACTTTAATGAATTGGAACTCAAAAAGGCAAAACATTTGAACGCTTCCCATAACACAAACGTGAATCAGGCACTACTCGTGGTATTTACGTGCTCTTTTCTAGTGGCACAGCATAAAGACAATTAATGTCAACTTTCACTCGCGGTATTTCACATTTAATCGAAATATCATCTCTCTGCCACAAGGTTACGGAAAGATTGGTGCAACACGACGTCTCTTTTCTCGGACGAACGGCACTACAAGTATTTATTTTAGGCAGAGCCGGATTAATGACGAGGCCAATGGGGCCATGGGCCAAGGGCGCCAAATTCTCGGGGTGGGGCCTCAAACTGTGTCAAATTCTGCATTTTAAAAGTACGCAAATGAAGTGAGTCTTTATATCATTTCTAAATAGAATTTGGTGCCGTCGTTGTACGCAGCCTATATCAGTGTTTCCCAAACTTTTTGAGTGACGGAATACCTTAGAAGCTTTAAGAATTTCACCGAACACCATATTCATTTTCTAGAACTAGCATTCTGGCATAGAGTTTAGGTGTTTAGGTAGTAAAAACAGTTTTTTTAGGTTTAATAAATGACAATTATTTATTTATTCATTTGATAAGACAACTCGGACACAAAGAACATAAATAATTATTAAGTATAGACTTAGAAACAAAAGAAATTTATTAATATAATCCCAAAAACAAAAAACGAAAATGATTAATTAAACTAAAAACAAAAAAATAATAATATAAAAAATAAGCTGGTACTTAATCGTAGTCAATAACTTTGAGTTGCAAGTTCGATTGATATTCGATAATTGAATTCTGATATCTGACGACGCATCAAGTCTATTCCTCGACTTCGTCTTCGTTGCAGCATAATAAGAAAATCAGAGATGAGTGGTAGGAAAAGGAAGTACTAGAACAGCTATTTTTAATAAGTTGGGATATTCTTCAATTAAGTTAACCCAAAAATTATTTTAAACAAATAAAATGCATATATGATCGCGATGTGTTATATTTGGAGAAAATGTAAAATTTGCTTTGCACTAATTAGGTTTTTCAATTTTTTTTTGCGGAACACCTAGTAACTTCCCACGGAACACAATTTGGGAAACCCTGGTATATATTAAAAAATTGGGTGTTCTAGTCTTTCTCATATAACTTAGTATGGGACATCAAGTATTACATATTTATTTTAACGAATAGTTTAAATTATGCGCGTTCGTTAAAGACAGTATTTTTTATATTTCGTAATTTTAAAATAAACGTTTTACTGTCAATTAAATGAATGTGTAGGAAATATTTGGTATCTGGTAATACCTTCTATAAGAAGAATAAGACTAATATTATCTTTCTTGGAAATTATTATACTTGGGTCATCTATGACTAGAGTATTTGTTATAAAATTTGGAATTAACTGTTCTACTTTTATTTATACATGCAACAAAATTTGGTCATAGATTCTTAAGAGAAGTCTTTTTTATATCTCAAAACCATGTTGTACAAGAATCACTAAATTTGGTACACAGGGGTTTTATAACATGTGGAATCTCACAGTGCTACGCTTGTTGACGAGAAACCCCCTTAAGACACTTTTTCGTGGACCCCCTTGGGCCCCCTTGTCTTTTGATTTTTTTTTAAATTATTAGTTAGAATGGCATTGAATTTAGAAACTTTTTTGTCTCTTGATATTTGTTTCGTAAAACGCAATGTTTTTGGGGAAATTGGCGAATCACGATATGCATTCGATCACATTTTGACATTTTTCTCGAAAACATTGCCTTTTACGAAAAAAGTATAAAGAGACAAAAAGTTTCTAAATTTAATGGCTTTCTAGTGGGCTGATAATTTTTAAGAAATTTAAATGTGCGACCAAATTTTTTTGGCTCCAAAGACAAGGGGGCCCACGAAAAATTGTCTTAGGGGGGTTCCTCGCGAAAAAACGTAGCACCATCAGATTCCACATGTCATAAAACCCCGGTGTACCAAATTTAGTGATTCTCGTACAACAGGGTTCTGAAATATAAAAAAAGATTATTCTTAGGGGCGGACTTCAGGGGGCTGTAACTCCAAAAGAGGGGGCCACTTGGCAAAAATAAAAAATACGGATACCCGAAATTTGTCTTAAGAATCTGTCACCAAATTTTGTTGCATAAATTTCGGGACACCCTGTATATATAATTGATTATTTCCTTTAGTCAACAACGTTTACTACTACTTTTTTGCATTATCACTATCACGAACTATCATATCTGAACTATATGTGTATAGGTTAAGACTCACCTTGTATATTGAAATTTTGACTTTCGTATCGTTAAATATAAGGGCAGTTTACTCTTATGTCATTTTCAGCTTTTTGGTTTCCTGACCAAGCAAAATTTTTTATAAAAAATGTGAACTAAATTTGCATGAACCTCAATCAATTAACTTCAATGGCAATTTAAATTAAATTGAACATTAAATTATACATAAGTTGAAAAAAAATTGTTTTTTCAACTAGAAATGAAACAGTTATTTCCGTTCATAGACTTGTCCCACGGCATTTTTATCCATTGTTGCAAAATATGCTATTTCCGTAAAATTAAAAAAATTGTTCATATCTTCTTCAAACGTGAACGTAAGTGATTCGTAAGTATATTTTTTAATATGCACGGTGTTGCAAATATGAAAAACAAATTTCATAAAAACACATTTGAGGTGCCTGCACAGATAATACTTTCAAAAAATTAAAAAAGAGGTCCTCATAAATTTTAATCAGGGGCGCCATTGTCCCTGAATCCGGCCCTGATTTTAAGGTTCGGTTTATCTAAAATTACCATCATCCGAATAGGTGTATCGTCCACGCGTCTCATATTGCATCCGATTGTACTCTTTTAATGTCAAAATTTAAATATGAAGTTGAAATGAATGGAGGTAAATGAAACAATGGTCTGCACGTTTCAAAATATAGTTTCTCTATAATATCAAAAGTGTGTTGAGCAGTTCATCACGTTCATTTGTTTGATTCCATTGCGTTATTTTTCTGACCGCCTACTTGAAACTGATGCACTAATTTTTCCCTGTGATATTTTCATTATCTATACCAAGTTTGTAATGGTCATAGTTTTTTTATGAATTAGCATGACCGTCTTGATGGCAAAACGCCGACAGAACAAAAAAGCTTTAGTCCCTGATGAAAAAAAAATACTGAAAAAGACCTCAGTTCATTGCTCTGGCTAAACTGGGTTCCAGGGTTGATAAAAAGAAAGGGGAATATAATATGTAACATGAAAATTAATGCACGGCATTTAAAGCAGGATTTACTTTTAATTTATTTTCTGTAATTCCAATACATTTTAGAATACCGTAGATTTTAGGACCACATTAGATTTGTACATTCTTTTATTACACGGGTATATTCAGTTGACCTGATTTACGTTGAGGAACGAAAAAATTTGAGTGCTCCGTACTAGCATAACTTATAAAACTTATAAAACCAATGGTGTTATTAAATCAAAATTTCAATTTCAAATAAATAAATGCGAAAAAAATTAAGGTGATATATTAATGAAATAAACCTTTACACCAAAAAGACCAGTCAAGGGTTAATTTTTAGGAAAATAGTTTTTAACCAAAAATCTCACACTTAAAAAGCAGAGAAACACAAAATATAGTATATGTGTATCTTCTGATATTGATAATTATTTTTTTAAGTGAGAGAATTTTGGTTTATTTAAGTATGGTTTTAATTACTTTTTATACTTTGCACGGTGGCAAAATACCCAATAAAACTAAAACTATGTCGTATTTAAATAATTTTAAACGATAAGAAAGTTGGCAATCAAATCTGTCGGTTATTTCCTCTAAAGTATGGCATACATCTCCTTATCATTAAAGATAAATCACATATCCCTTATATCGCTATAATAATAAGAAAATATGCAAAAATATACAAGCTGTTCCCGTAAAAAATCGTGTTAGCCACAGACAATAGGAATTTTGAAAAGTTTCTTACAACTTTTTCCTCACGTTCCTACATTCGTTTTTTTTTCATATCTCGAAGAACACCGAAGCAAATTTTAAGAGAAAATTGCCGTAGCTAGTTAAAGAAGTCTTTTCATGTTACTAAATACTAATTATCACAAATTTTCTTTAATTTAAGAAAAACAACGATGCCCTTGAATAAAATACGAACTTTATCTTCTATTTCAGGTAAACGTGGTCGAAGCTTAGACAACATTTGTCCTGTTGGAGACCCACTCCGTATAAGTGACACTGTTCGTCCCTTTTTGTGCGGCAATGATCCAGGAAAACCTCAGTGCCCACCCCTCTACCAATGTCTGGTTCAGAAAGGTAAAAATCAAGATACTTATTACTAGATGTATACAGGGTGTTTCTAAAATAGGGTTCCAAACTTCTGCTGCGTTTATAACTCATTAAAATAAGCCAAAAAGGTTCCTATTAACATGTGCCCTAAAACGCACCCTTAGGAAGTTATATGCCCTTAAAAGGGCTCAAACAAAACTTGTTTTTTCTAATAAATTGCAGTTATGAAGGATCCGATAATTTAATAAATAATCTAGGATATAAACTAAGATTATTTAAATTTAGAGTTACACTTACTAATTAAAGAACTAATTACTACTGCAGACAATAGCTAAATGTGAAATAGAAAATAATGGGATTAAAATTTTCAAACTCAATTTACTCGAAAACCATTGGAAATATCGATTTGGACAAAGATAATTTTGTTTTTTAGGTAAAATTGTTATGATTTTATAAATCTGTAGAGAAAATTGTAAAAAAATTTAAATAAAAAAAATTACGGGCCGAAAACCCCCTTTTCAACCTAAATGGGACGCATATGATTTACATGTCGAAAAACGGAGTAGCCCATGTTATTTAACGTAAAAATTTATGTAAGACCCATAATTTTTTTTTTTATTTATTTGCGACCGTTTTGTCAATAACAGAAAAAAACAGTTTTGTTTGAGCCCTTTTAAGGGCATATAACTTCCTAAGGATGCGTTTTAGGGCACATGCTAATAGGAACTTTTTGGCTTATTTTAATGAGTTATAAACGCAGCAGAAGTTTGGAACCCTATTTTAGAAACACCCTGTATGTAGTTTTGCACCTATTTAATTGAAGTACATTCTTAATATGCAACAATTTACTGAATCTGGGAAATATTGTCAACGTATTTCAAAGTCAATATCCAAAACAACATTTACTTTTTAATTTATACATTACGTTATGCACTATTTTTTACATTGCGCAAACAGACTTTATTTTCCATTGTTAACTTAGATATATACTTGCACTTATTGTATTGATCCGTGACGTGAAATTTCTTTAATAAGAAAACCAACTGATTTGGCTTATAGGCTTTTACAGCGCTTTAGGTGGTTGGTGATACCTTGTTCCTGCGCTGGATGATGATGATAACATTCTGTGTCTGTGACCTTCATATGTACATATCCGTGTGGGGACGGGAACTTCTAGGAATGGTACAGAGTACCATTTTCTTATCTCCTTGATGACATTTTGGTTTTAGAGTTGCTAATTTCAGCGTTTTCTTCTTCTCGAAAGGTACCAAGTTGATATTTGCCAGGGTTAAGAATGAGAATGAACGCATAGTTGCTCCTTCAGTTTGTTCCTAAGATTGACCTGCGAGAAGGTCCTAGTTCATACCCCTGCCAAGTGTACTAAATTCTCACTCTTGTCTTCTTTAGTAAGCCTCCCACAAAAAGTTCTCCTAAAACCAATCAGTACTCTTTTAAATGGTATCATGTCAAAACTCATTAGGATATCAACTGCATCCTGGATTCATTGGGCTACTGGGTCTTTAATTCACAGGGCCACATATTGAAATTGAGACTTACCTTCCCTCAGACCAGTTGACTTCTACGTTTTTGAGGCCGCTGTTCACAGTCCCGGGGTCTGGATCAAGGTCAAATGAAAGTCAAATTTCGTTTTTTGAATGATATAACTTTTTTGACCCCGGATTCCGAAAGAGCAGGAAATTTTGCGTCCAAATACGTGTTGACCCGTTGGTGAAAGTGACCTTTGGAAGTCATTTGGAGGTCATTAGAGATCGAATCTGAGATTTGAACCTACCGGCTGGAATTTCCGCTACGAAATGAGAAGTCGGATCTCGGACCAGTTAACCTTCACGTTTATTGAGTCGCTAATCCGACGTTTACGTGACCCCAGCGCGTCTGGATCAAGGTCAAATGAAGGCCAAATTTCGTTTTTTGAATTATATAACTGTTTTCAAATCAAAATTCATCAGTTTATGGTTCCCATGATTCTCCACAACTTCCATAAAGGTCATACATCTGACGTCTTATTTCATAGCCGAAATTTCAGTAGGGAGATTCAAAAATTGGGTTTGACCTTTAAATGGTCTCCATAGGTCACTTTTACTAACAGGTCAACACGTAATTTCTCCTTGTTTCGGATTGCGGGATCAAAAAAGTTATATCATTGGAAAAACGGAATTTGACCTTCATTTAACCTTGATCCAGACGTGCTGGGGTTATACGAATACTGGGATCGTGATCAGCGACCTCAAGAAAATAGACGTCAACTGGTTTAAGACAAGAAGATAAGTCTCAATTTCATTTTGTGGACATGTGTTATGTATGACATTCACTATTGATCGAACTTCTAATATGGTTTTTGGACCTTTGGAACGCAACAAAGTTGTGTTTTGTATCACTTAAAATTATATTTCTTGAAAATATTAAAGGTTCGACCCCCGGAAACACATCCTGTTCAATTTCTTTTTATCTTATACACTGATTTCCATAGTAGGTTATCTACCTTCACAAAAATACTTTATTGTGGCAAAATAACGACTAATTTTCTTTTGTCTATCAGCAATATAATAATTTCTTCATTTTGCAACAGTTCTTTTATGGTCTGAACATCAGATTCGATTTTGGAGGTATGACAGTTCTTACATGCGCTTCTTCAACACTTACTTCTTCCTCCACTTCTTAGGTGAGACACCGACACTAGGTTTCAAGATCATTAATGATTTCCTCCTTTGAAATACTCCTTAGAATTATTCTTTAATTATATAGAAGCTAAAGTTACTGGTGATGTGAAGCTTGTCCGGACTTATCTGCTTGGGTTGTTTTTCCAAGAGCATTTCTCTTTCTGCTTATTTTGGACATCCTCTTCTGTACATAATGCTTTCTCGGTGGTCAGACTGTCTACTAGGTTCTTTTTATGTCTCTTTAATATGCTAGTAAGCTGAAAATAAAATTCACCTGTAGAAGTTTCTTTCGATAGATGTAAAATTCTTCTTCCTGTGTAAGTTACCTTGAATTTATCTTAAAAATCACTGGTGCAATCAACAAATCTAGACACAGGTATAAGAATACCACTTGTCTTAACAGTTTCTCCATCCTCACCTATATTTGTCCAATTTTTTAATACAAAGTAAATTCTCTCCTTGATCCTTCAGCTTGGTTTCGCTGTAAAAAAGATAATAGAGACATAACATATTTTTTAATCTTAACACCCAATAACTAAAGATATTGTGGGAAACAACTACTCTACGAACTACAGCTCCGTCCAGCATTTAATTACACCCCCAATATCCAGTAGGTATTGAATCACATTGACAATTAAGATATGACACACTGCATGTTATATCTCACCCATACTTAACGCCAGATATGCTTGACACACCATACATTATGTTCTTGCCACTATTTATTATTATTTTTTTTTTTTTTTGGTAGGAAACGACTACGGCGTCTGCTGCCCGGCCTCCCTGAAGATCCAAAAAACGGGCACCTGCCCCGTGGAGGCCGAGGGGGGCGCCGATTGCGGTGCCATGTGCACTCACGACTTGGAGTGCCCCTCGGTGCAGAAGTGCTGCCGGACGGAGAAGTGCGGCTCATCGTGCATTCATCCCAAGAATGTGACAGGTAAATTAATCGCCTCGAAGGATTCCTGACATTTGCAGTTCTCGCACGGACTTATGTAATACAAATAAAGGAGTCGATTGCACACAGATATGCCATATCAGTTTGAGAACACGTCTTGAATGACGATGTAGGCTTTGTTATTTGCGACACGCGATGTGATGTGGCTCGCCAATCATATTTATCGTCTATGTAATTGCGATTGTTGATCGCGAAAGGTTTCCTTTGTTTTGATGACGAAGGAACCTTATAGAATCAATTTCTAGTCTCTTCATTTTGAGAATAAGTTTTCAAATCATCTAAATCTCTTGAAGAAATTCTTGATTATTTTTAATGATGTAGATACCAGTAAATTTCATTGCAAAAAAAAGTCATTGAATAATAAAAATTGATTTACATACAAAAGTCCTTTTAAAAACTATTAGCATCTGATTTTTTTATTAATCCTCTTACTTCATCATACATTTGGTCTAATTGTCCACAAGCTCTATTGAAGAAAGTTTTTTGGAGCAGCTTTTAACCAGTTTTGTATCGCCTTAATGGTCTCATCATTTGTAAACTTCTGACAATTACACAATATTCTTCTAAACGTCCAAACACAAGAACAGCGTTCAGGCAGTCCCAACACCTCAAATTTCAAAGGGCTTAAGCGTCTTTAATGTATGGTAGTTCTTGTTTCACAACAACTCTCTTTTTGAATTAACTTGGATTTTCGACCACATCACGAGCTTAAGGTGGCCATATCCCTGGCCGAGAAATGGTTAAATCTCTGGCATTTTTAGGTACTGAAATCTTGAAAAGTAAAACGTGTAGAACAAAAGGAAGCACAAAAATAAAATCCTTGATGTTTTGTTTATTCATTGTTACCATTTAAATTTACCCAAATAAAATAATAACTAAACCCACATTTTAAGAATTATTTTCACGTACTTATAAATAAAAGTAAACAATTTTATATGTAGGACTAAGCAAGTAAATGTTATAAGAATATTTACATGTGGAGTTATATATAAAAAGTTAGTATTTTCGTAGATTTCAGTACCTAAAACCTTGAAGGTTTGATCGTTTTTTGCACCTGTTTATTCGTTTTACTCCGGCGTCTTTGAAAATACTCAGGTGGCATGACATAATATGGGGGCCTTAAGTAATTAATATGTATCTCGAAACGGTAAAAAGTCTAAACCGATGACGTGGCAAACAGTTCAGAAAGTGTTCAACTACCGCCACTAAACAATTCCTCTTATTTAATCACTTTTCCTTGTATTATCTGGGTCCTTTATATATCTTAAATATCAAAATACATGTTTCGAAAGAATTTTTCGTAAATCAAATAAATATGCAAGCACATATTTTATAGAGAAGTCTGAATAATAAACATGTCAATTTTTTGGGAAGTAAGATCCAGTTAACTGTTAATATTATTTTTATTTTGTGTGTATTTACAAATTTTTAAACATGATTTTCAAATTGTTACCAGTACCTAAATCAGACTGTAATGGTACCTAACATCTGTTATTCATCTTTTAACCAGATTTTTCCATAGGACATTGACTGTTGTTTGATGAGTCAATCAACTGTAATAAATGAGATGTATTCAAAAATGGAGATTATTAATTTGTTATTACTCTGCAAAGTCTTTGTTTGATATATTACACTTATGAAATATTGCGATGGTATAAGATTCGTTCTTCTTACCTTTCCTTTAGAGACTTTAGACCTATCAAATAAAATAACGGAGCACTAAATTATCTACTGAAAATAAATAGTTTCGTAAATATTATACTTTAAAAGTGTTAATGCGTTTTTTATCATTTTTTCCTAAACAATTAATTTAAAATCTTAATGGCTTTTGTTTATTTTGTTACATTGAGACATTTGCATCATTACCCTTAGGATTGCCTCTGACATTTACATCATCGCTTTGTGAGAGATAAATGGTTAAATATAAATAAACTTGCATAATTTATTGAATAATAATTTTCCAGAAGGAAGTCGAAAATATCTTAGTATTTAAAATTTTTGAAAAACTACAAAACATAACTTACTCTAACGTAAAAGTTTATAATAGTCGTTGAAAAAACTTGACAGTTGCTCTTACAAAGTTTGTAACTTCTATTATTATCTACCTTATCTTCTATAATCTATAAGTTATTGTTTTGTTATTGTTTCATTTTTTTGTTAATTTATAAATGTTCTCGCGTACAGAATTGTGAAGAAAATTGAAAACTAACATACTTGAAAAAAAATAAAGCTATTGATGATTTTTTCTGTTAGAAACATTATTAAAATAGTCATGATACATTATATTGAACTCGACAGAGAATGATGAATTCGTTACACAACAATATTGATAGGTTTGTATCTAAAAAAATTGATGAATTTTGCATTCATAAAATCCATGGTTTTTCTATTCTTTCTTTCGTATGTGTTTTAACTAAAAACCCAACTTTTCTGGAAAAATTTGGCGTCGGAAAAATACGGAAAATTTTGTTCCTTTTCTTTGTTTGTTCATGAAAAATGATGATATTGTTTCTTTTTGTCGTTTCGAATAAAATAACTTTTGTTAATTTGCGCTTGAACTCTACTAATTTGAGATTTCAAAGCATCGCGATCCTAAATATACAAATTTAATTAAAACATGTTATTTTGAGGTTTATTTTAGCAAAATATGTCAAAAAATATTTATTCAATTGTTTCTATTTCAAACTTTTTCAAGTTTATTTCTACTGCAACCTTTTGCTTCGAAACGGAAAAAAGTCCTTTTACAATTTTTTACTTTTCTTCCAATTGCTCACATTTTTAGTCCTGATGGCTCTGGAAAAGCGACATCAATAGTTTCTTTTTTCCATTTATATTGGTCTTTAATATCAATGGAAACATTTTTATATATTTTCAGGTTTTCTTTATTAATTTTGTCTTATTTCACTTTTTCTCTTTTAATTTTTTTTTATATATTTTATTGTTTTTTATATTAATATTTAGTATTGTTATAATCTTCAAAAATTTATGTGTATTCGCCACCAAGAATAACTTCTAATTTTATTCTTTCAAAACGAGAATGATCAGAAGGGGTACACCATATAATTTTTTGTTGACAGCAATATTGTAGGCACCTATATCTAAAATTGATCTGTTTAGAACGCACTCCATCAAAATACACGTGTTTAAAAAATTGAAGAGGATATTAGAAGAGTAAATAAATCGAGGAGAATAAATAAATAAACTATTTTGGCTGAAATATTTTTTAGAAACATATTTTGGTATATAAAGCACCATTTAAGAATGTTTCTTAGCATTTCGTACACTGAACTTTTACAAAAAAAAAAAAAAAAAAACAGTTAAAAGTATGAATCCAAAAAAATAAATGACATCTCTTAATCAATTGTTCACTAACAATTTTCAATAATTTTCACAATAAGACGCAGATTTCCGTAATGAAAACTGAATTGAACTAGCCATTTTTCTGTTAACTAAGATAAAAAACGATAAAAAAAAGTGAAATACATGCCATTTACGACCACAACTCAACTATTTACCGTTTTTATTCAGTATGTAAGTCGGGGACGATTCCAGAAGTTCTTAATAAGTTTTAACAATTTTAGTTGGCATTAATTCTGTGCACCTCAGTTTCAACGATTTTGATTATTAAAAATGCATTTTAATGCATTCTACATGCCGTTAGTTTGTAACGACCCTATACATTCTGAATCGGCTATTTCATCAAATAAATCCCCATTCATAGAATTGTTAACAGTAAAATTATTTTTCAGAATGCTGGCACCAACGCGCCCTCACCGAAATCCTAGCAGTCAACGAGAGGGTTGGAAGGGGGTACATCCCCATGTGTTCGAATGACGGCCAATTCGAACCCAAACAGTGCAGTCGGAACGGCCTAGTCTGTTGGTGTGTGGACAGATTGGGGAGGAAACTGAAGGGTTCCATGGGACCAGCGGAAAACGTGAACTGTTCTGCGGTAGACGGTAAATATTTTCAGATAGTTTCCTCTTAAGAAACTGACTGAGGAAAATTTTCAGCCCGCCCTGAATCCGTCGGCCGAAGTCTGAACAAACACGGCGAAGAATGTGAACAAATGGAATGCGCGCAAATTTGCGAATACGGGTTTAAACTGGACGATGATGGATGTCACACGTGCAAATGTGACGATCCGTGCGATGGGTACATGTGTCCCGAGGATGAAGAGTGTGTTAACGTCAAGGAGTCGTCGTGCACTGACTTCTTGTGCCCGTCTTTGCCAGTGTGTAAGTTTTCTCAGCTCAAAATTTGCGAAACAGTCAGAAAAAGTATACGGCAATAAGAACAAACCTTCCGATGATGAGGTCGTTTATACAGGGTGTTCTTTAAGCTCTATGACAAGCTTTGATAGATGGTTGACGTTTGGGGTAGCATTTTCAACAATAATTTTCTGCCTGTACATAATAAACTCATGTTTAATCACAAATAATAATTATTGTTATAGCAACCATCATTTTTATTTATCAGGCTACTTTGAAATATGAAATTATATTTTTTAAAATGCTTGTAACTTTTAAACAAAAACGAATCAGATCTATGTTCATATAAGAAAAAATGTTTGAAATTAACCCGGTTACCATATGCCACAGTTAGTCATAGAGCTGGTAAAACACCCTGTATAATTTCGAATTTTAGAGAATGCCTTGCTTGAAGAAATAAATATAACCAATAATATATTTACTTTTTTATATAGGTAAATCTAAATTATAACGCGCTAGCTATTCAAAATAATATAATTTCTTAATTTCTACACTGTGACTTTGAAGTAAAGACCATTAGGTTGCATATGTAAGATTACTATGACAAATTACTTCACAAGTTACTAATATTAGGCAACTGCGTCAATTAAAACCATATATTAAGTCCTAAGTCATTGTAATTACTCGTACATTTAAAAAAAATGATTCAATTTTGGCATTTTTTACAAGAGTTATTATTTCTCATACTTATAACTACATTGCACATATCCCATACAGAAACAAAACATCTTTACATATTTAAAGTACGATGGTTTTTTGGTTGTTATGCCATGGCCTGTGAATCTGATCGCTGCCAGTTACAGAATTACTTTTCACTTCCTTAGCCTTAGCCAGGAATCTTTGACTTGCCCTTGCTGTTCTCGGGCTAGGGTCTGTGGGCGTGGACCAGCTATTAGTACCTCCATGTCCATACTGATGTTCATTTCGGTTCTTATTGGATCTTAGGATTCCAAACGTTTCGCCATTTTTCAGTGTCTGCTTCTTCAGTGGTATCACTATTTTAACATGATCCATTTTAGAATTTTGATCAGAATCAGAAACTTCTCAGCACAGGCAATAAATAGTAAATCTAAATTAATTAGTTAATACATACGAAATTTCGAGATACTGAAAACCATTTATTCGATTTGACAATTTGGATGGTGATTACGGAATAAATAAAAATTTGTCAAATTAAATTAAATATTGCTTATTAATTCAACTTCAAACAATCTTCTCTTGAGATCTGTAAATATTTTATAACTTTTTTGGTGATATCGATTCAATTTTTAATGAAGAATATATCTCCAAGGTTTTTTGGATAAGTTGTATACAGGGTGATTCATAATTCAGTACAAAGAATTTAGGGGCGTATTTTTGAGGTCAAACTAAACGGTACTATTGTCCCTAGTCAGAAGTGATTTTTTCGAAAATGGTTAGTTGTATCAAAAAAAAGTAAAGTGCTAAAATTCAAGATCATTGCATTACTGATTAGATGGTTAATAAATTTTCAAAATTTTCACGGTAAATAGTTAATAAAATTTAAAAGTATGGTGCGCATTTAACTCTTCATCAGCTAATGTGTCGGAAATTGTTAGCCTGAGAGATTTCGACCAAGTATGCCTCTTTTGCTTAAAATTGATAGAGGAATAAACGCACTAACACGAAACGTCAATGTACAGGGTATAAAAAAGTTAGGGCCAATTTAGTTCAATTCAATTATAGGCGACGCCCTCTACAAGCAGAGTTAAAACCAATGACATATTTAAATTTAACATCCTAAAAAAACCTCGTACCCCAAGTTTTATGCCAACATTCAAATTTGTTTAGAAATTATTCCTAAAAAAATAAAAAACTTTAATATCCTGTATATCGAAAACTAAGCATTTGTGGATCCACATTTATAGGAAAGAAAGTCTTATTTTGACTTCAAAAATACGCCCCTGAATTCTTTGTAATGAATTTTGAATCACCCTGTATTTTTGAGTTGAGAGCGAGAAAAAAGGATCAAAGATTCAAAAAAGATGAAAACTTAACGAATATTTTCCTACACAGGTCGACCAAAGGCCGTTTACGCCAACCCCTGCGATACCGGCACGCCCTTAACTGACGATCTCAGTGGAGCCCCGGTGGCTTGTGCTCTTCGCTCTGAAGATGGTACCGTCTGTCCGGCAGCCTACGAATGTACCGCCGTAGCCGGTTCCACGCAGGCCGTTTGTTGTCCTAGCTCTGAGGAAGAAATGACGGCTGAGTCGTCTGAGGACTACAGTCAAACCGAAATGAGGCCACAATCTAGTAAGTTAAATGTTCTAGATACAAAGTGTTAAAAATTTAAATATTGACATTTCATCACGTTTTTAACAGATTACACCTTCTTCAGTATTAAATTTTTTAACTCAGGATTGTATATTTCTTATAAAATAAATGATCCAGGTTTTAACTGGATTAAAAACATCTAAAATTGCTACTAATCTAATTTTGTTTTTTTTTTTTTTTCAGTGTGCGAATACCTCCACGAATTTTCCGAGAACATGGAAGGCACAAGGGACGGCATGACCCTTGCCCTTCCAATGCCGAACTGCGACTCCGAAGGGAACTACCTCGCGACTCAGTGTTCCGACGACGAGTGCTGGTGCGTGGATAACTTTGGAACAGAGATTCCAAGAACAAGGAGTGCTGGCAATGCCACCAAAGACTGCGAGGAACTGAGAGAAACCATGGGCTGCTTGGACATCACTTGCAGGATGGGATGCGAATACGGCTTTATCCTTTCTGAAGACACGGGCTGTCCCTTGTGCCAATGCAGAGATCCTTGCTCAGGTGTGAACTGCATGGAGGACGAACAGTGCCAGCTAGTCGAAGTTAGTTGCAAGGATCATTATTGTCCACCAGTGCCATCTTGTAAGTACCATAGCTCTTATTTGCAGTTGAAGTTGTCCAATCTTCGCACAGAATGTAATATCATTCATTTAAACTTCTTCATGTTCTGAGAGACATATTGATCTCTTCTTCAGAAGAAACTTTGAAACTTGAAATGGAAGTTTCCGGAACAGTATTGATATGAAGAGACCAATAACTGGAGATGGACCAATATGCAAAGAGAAGTACTCCTGAAGAAGAGAGCAATATATCTCTGGGAAGTTTAACTCGATGGAAACCAGTCTGGAAATTGTTGAACCACTGGCAACTTTCACGGAAGTATACAGGCAATTTCCTGTCTCCTTTCAGTTTCCTTTAGTTTCCAAATCTGCAGTGTAACTTCAACATTGCTACAAAATGTCTAGACTGATTCCTCTCATAAAAAGAGACAAATAACAAGCAATTTTTTTACCATATTCTAAAGATTAATTGTGGAACACTATTTTTGATCAATTGAGGATATAGGTTTCCAGCTTTGAACCTTATAATTTCATCATGTAAATTTTTAACAAAGTAACAGCATCAGAATTAGAAGAGATTAGAAGATTTCTATAGACAAAAACGAATTATGTAAAATGTAGATGTGACTTTTCCATGATTACGTAGTTAAGATATTAAAACAGAAGCACTAACTTTTACGTATATGATGATCATGATAAACAAAACAGAGGCAGAAAAAGTTTGTAAGAGATTTCTCTTGCGGCACCAAAAAACTTGTTTTATTTTTTTGGAACCGTCCTAATCAGATCCTTCCTAATTTCGACGCCACTTAATTTTTTTTTAATTACATATCCAAGATGTCCCTTCTTTCGACTGCCAAACTTCTGCAGGGTGTTTCTTGGTCAACATTAACATAGAAAGTTGAAATGGGTCAATTGTGATTTCTTACGAAGATATAGCAACTTGAAAATGATGTGTTGATAATGTTTTTTTTTTCTAAATAGGTAATCAATACCACTTTTGATACACATTTTTGGTTATTGATTGCTCATATCTACCTAAATCAAAAAATGTCGAAAAATATTCAAGAGTACAAAAGTTTAGATTTTTTTCACAGAATATTTTGGTTTTTTTTTATTTGCGTAGGATAAAAATTAACAGAAATGTCGCTGCTGGAAGTTTGCAGTTGAGGGCGAAGGTCATGCTTTTCAAACCCTTTAACCTCAAAAATCTCAAAAGTAATGAGTTAAAAAATATTCAGTTTTACAGCTGTCGAAATTTTCCGTAAAATTGTTTTTGGATTGTCTTAATAGCTTTAAAATTAAGAAAGTTAGCGTTAAAAAACCAACGGTACCTTACTGCTTCAATTTTCGGATCATATCAATATTTTGGTTATCTACAACGTTGGAGCATTCTGTATACATAGAATACATAGAATACGTTTTCCCTTTAATATTTTAATAATCCTTCTTATCAACTTTAAATGTGTAAAATAGTTTTTATTTGCATAATGAAGGGTATTTTTAAGAAACCCAGTGATCCGATAAACACTATAGAAGGGCATTAAAATTCATATTAAATAATTTAAAAACTTTTTTTTACATATTTTGTCATTGGGGGTGGGTTAAAACAATGCGATAAATTGTAAATTGTATATTATAAACAGGTAAAAAAAATTAATTTGTCCTGTTTGTACTATCAAAACATTTCAAACTGTTAAAAAAACTATTTTTTAAATATTTTGTTATTAGTAGTTTTTTAAGGGTTGAAATATTGTAATAAATTATTTATAATACCATAAACTATTGAATAGATTTCTATTTATAATACAGGGTGTCTCATAATTAGCTGCCAACCCTGAACAGGCCGATTCTATGATCAAAACTAAGTAAAAAAGTTCATATGAACATGGGTTCGGAAATGCTTCCTAAGGACACAGGAACCCATTGAAGAGGGAGGAATGGAAATAATTTTTTTGCAATATCTCTCAATCGCGTTGTGATAAATGAATGAAATTTGGTATACACAGCTAAATTTTGATGAGCAATTTGATGGACTAATCCATTTATTTCCACAAGGTCCATTGGGGTGGGTACGGGGGGGCCCTTGGTACTTTGCGTGTGTAACTTTTTCATCTTTGACTTTTTAACAAATTGGACAGCAAATTCCGTTTTCCCGAACTGTTTTACGTTAAAAAGGTACTCTTGTTTCAAATCGTTATCTTTAACGGTTTCTGAGAAAATCGCTCTTGAATTAATCCCACTTTGGTCAGAACTAGAACTATTAAATTGGCAATCGGGTTGACAATACTTTGATATAAGAATACCTTGATAATTATGTTTAAATTACTATGAAATTGACCAGCTGGCAGCTAATTATGAGACACCCTGTATATGCTCTTTAAAAATATTTTATGTTCAAAGGAACTATTAATTTTATATTTTTATGATTAAGGGTGAAATAAGCTTAATTCCAAATTTTCATAAAAATCGGATCTATCCGAAAGTATTCAGAGGTTTTACGCTATTTTTCTCTTCGTTCCCTGTACTAATACTAAAGATTACTAGTTAACATACATACATTATTGTTGTATTTACTAGTATATATTAAATATTAAATAAGTACTAGAATAGAGTAAATATTTTTATTTACTTACAATCCTGCTGGAGATTTTAAATAGTCACATAGAAAAAACATTGTCAAAAGTCATCTTCGTGCTGCCTTCATAAGGAGTCTGTGAAGATCACCAATTACCAGTTCAGTTCATCTTTTTGTGTCAACTTTAATCTAATCAAGGAACCCGCTTTAGAATTAAGAAAGGTAGCTACTATAAGGAAATTGCACTGTATCAATTTCGAGGTCAATATAAAACTCGTGCCACCTTTAAAGAATATGTTGATGAGTATAAAGCCTTAGGAAACATTTTATGAATTACTTGCGGTGTTTTTGTTTATTTGGACAAGATTAATCAACCCTGGAAATTTCTTCTAACGTCATACGCGTTTCAACATAATTTCCATTGACAGCATTGTATTCCAGAATTACAGAAATCACTTTTACAGCATATGTATTAGAAAATTTTTAATTACTTTCAGGTTTACCAAAGAAAGTCGGACAGTGTCCTTACTTAGTACCAGCCACCACGACATCTTGCGACTTTGAATGTAATTCCGATATGGCTTGTAATGGTACCTTAAGGTGTTGCTCTAATGGTTGTGGAACCCAATGCATTGAACCATTACTTCTAACCGGTAAGTCTCCAACACTACACACTTATATGCTGAAAATAAAAAATATTTAAAGTTTTGTGTCATTAATTATCATTTTATTTCAGGTTGCCAGCATCAAAGGACGCTGGCTCAGCATCAAGCTCACGAATCCGGCATACCAGCCGGCAAAGTCTACATTCCAAAATGCAAAGACGACGGCAGCTACGACCCCAAACAATGCAATCCCGGAACCAGAGAATGCTGGTGTGTCGACTTCCGCGGCTTCGAAATCTCCCAAACGCGCACCAACAACACCAAAGACCTGTCTTGCGACCCTCCACCAAAATCAAACGAATGCTCCTTGGCCAAATGTGCCAAAGACTGCGAACACGGTTTCCAACTCAGCGAGAATGGTTGTCGCACGTGCACCTGTCTCGATCCCTGCTCCCAAATATCCTGTCGAGGCGAAGGAGAAACGTGTCGGTTGGTGTCTGTCGAATGCGTGGATTGGCCTTGTCCATCCGTGCCGATGTGTTTGCCTAAGAAAGAGAACCCTTGCCAAAACGGAGAGCCTCTCAAACTAGGAAGTAGCGACGAACTGGTGACTTGCGGTCCGGAATTCGAAAGTTGCCCATCGTCCCATAAGTGTCAACTTAGTCCTGTGGGGGAGTATGCGGTGTGCTGCCCCAAACCACGTGAGTATTCTTAGAAGAAACTGCAATAATATATACTTGGATCTATAATTAATTCTTAAAAATGTACTTGCTCAGTTAAAACTGAATAAGGAACAACATCAAAGTCAAAGAATTATTTTCTTTAATAATCTTACAATTCTCAGTTAAAATACATCAGAAATAGTATTTTATGTTACTAGGAGTAGAAGGCGATCATTGTGTTGAGCCCAAAAGTTGAGCAAAATTGGGCAAAACACATAATGAGCCTTCCACTCCGAGTGACATATACTATTTTTTCTTCAAGCGTGAATATAAAAAATTACTAATTTTGAAAATTTATAGCGGATAACGCGATGTTCAATCTCAGCACAAAATAAAATCAGTAGGTAGGTAATACTATTTATTTTATACATTTTATACATTTTATTGATTAATTAAACATGACAGTTTTAACCACTTTATTCATGAATAAAAAAAACAAATGTAACAATTATTTTTCTTTAATTTGAATTAAACGAATAAACATCTAAATTATCTACATGTCTATCATCAAACTGTATTTATTAACATGAATATTAAATGTGCAATTTTGTATGGTACAGTTGTTGATATTTAAAGCGCTGCTGGCTGTCTTTTTTTCAAAGTTTACAGTTCTGTCGTTGAATACGTTACTTGTAATAAGGTTCTCAGTTTTGATACCATTTTGATTTGATTTTGATGCCATTTTGATATTTAATAAAAAATCTATCAAAAGTTATGTCTTTTGGCCGAAGAGTAGCATATTTTCTGTATAAATTTAAATAAAACTCTCCAATTATGGTAAATGAACGATGTTTTTTAGTTTTTGTATTGGGAATATTTACTAATATTATATTTCCCAAATCTTTTACATCATTAACTTTTACTTGAATGAGTTCATCGCATCTACAAGCTCCTGTGACTCCAAATATTAGTGCAACCTAAAAAATATAGAATTATTAATTTTGTAACAATAAAAAAAGTTGGAAAATGCAAGGAAATTCTAAAACATGACGTAATTTTAAGACATCTATATTTACAACATTCTTCCAATGCGCTATCTTTATTTCCGAAAATTGTTTATTATTCTCGTAATGGATACTATAAAATAACTTGAAGTTTACAAATTATAACAAAATTTTTTATTACAAATATAAAAAGGTTACATATATATCTCCCTATAATTTAAGAAGTGCATACCTTGGTTGCTAAATATTTATCATCAGGTGCTTTATTCAGGAATTCGTCAAATTCTTTTTTAGACAAAGCTTTCGACTTTTTTGGCTTATAATTTTCACCTTGTCGTTTCAAAAATGTAATTAATTTTGAATATTTCTCAATATTTACATTGTGTTCTATGTTTAATTTAGATTTTACCATTGAATATTGCGCCCATAAAGTTGAACTTTTCAGTGTTCTGGATAATCTTGTAAAATATGCTATCATCACATTTTCTGAATAAATATGTGCATTATTTTCTTTTGCCCAATTTATGAATTTATCATAAGCATTTTCATAAATTTTTCTCGACTTTGTTGGTATAAGTGTTGCCACTGATGTATTTGCAATTTCCAGTAACTCTGGTGGTGTGCACTGCATTTCTTCAGACATTTTAAAAACGACCCGACGCGACGTCAAATTTCAACAATGAAACGTCAAAGCTTCTTGAATCTTTAATTCGTTGCTAGGATACTTACCTACACATTGTTACATTTTTTTACTAGTTAAAAAATGAAAAATATTTGTACTAGTTAAACAATAGGCTGCTTCTAAAGGAGGTGTTGCACTATATAATATAAGTATTATTATACGCTTGAAGAAAAAATTTATTTTACATCCTCTTTGGTATACGTTGATGTAACTCATAATACTTACTATAGAGATTATCTTTATATTATTTGAATATGTCTTCTTTTTCTCTCCAATTTTTTCATACTCACTACTGTGTACTTATAAGGTAGTACAAACAGGTGTGTTTTGTTTATATGATAAATAATGTATATGAAAAACTGAAAGTGAAAAATCTTCAGGGAACATTCTATAACATTCCAATGTCCTTATAAAGTATATAAAACGTTAAACTTTCTTCCAGGTGATGTTTGTTTTGAACCTCTCGATAAAGGACGTTGTGTAGGAGATGAAATTTCGAGAAATCTTACAAGATATTACTTCAATTCTCGAACTAATAAATGTGAACCGTTCATCTTCAAAGGATGTCAGGGAAATCATAATAATTTCCACACTGAAAGCATGTGCAACACTGTATGTCCAGGTACGAAGGAATAAATGTCTTGCGCCTTAATATAAAATCTAAATACACCTTTTTCATGATTTTAATAGATACTAAAGATGTCCAAAACACACATTACACTTACAATACATTTATTATAGTCTCTGATGTTCCACATGGTTCAGTTTTGGGACCTCTCTATTTTGACATTTTTTATAAATGATATGACTTGAACATGAGCTGTCTTTTATAAGCAAATTTTTCACTAATGAAAGTCATTATAGTTCTAAGCCAGTGCGAACGACTTCGAGAGAAGAACCAGAGAGCTGCCGAGCGATACAAGAAGCCAACCTTCACACCCCGCTGCGAACCAACCACAGGAGCCTGGCAGGCTGTGCAATGTCTCGAACACGTTGGTGTTTGCTGGTGTGTAAGCCCCCAGGGGGAACCACTCAAGGGCACGCTTACCAGAGGTGCCGAACCGCAATGCAATTTTAGACAGGCGAGGAACAGAGCCAGCGACAGGTCGGACACCATAAGCGACGCAGATTTGGGTAAGGAAAACGAAACTGGAGCAAAACTTGTCTAGAGTACCTTCGCTGTTTTCATAATAATATTGAATGAAATTGGAATTTTAGTTTTAGAAGAACTGATGATGCAAATTGGAACTCTCGACGATGAAGAGGAACCTAAAGATCTGAACGCTAAAGATGGTACCCTGATGGATTGGGAAATATCTCCTGCAAGTAGATGCGAAGCGTTGGGAGGCCATTGTGATGCCGAGGGGAAATTTTTGCCGATTCAGTGTGAAGAGGAGACTTGCTGGTGTGTGGATGAGGCTGGAAACCAGTTGCCAAATACAAATACGTTTATGAGAGGGGAACAAATATGCTGTAAGATATTAAATTCTTTTCTCCAAATATACTCCGACAATTTTTTTATGCTTGAACTCTTATCTCGGATACTAAGTATTTCTCGATTCATATTTATGGAAACTTAATTCTCATTTCAACAATTGGTAACACCAGGCAAAATTTAGCGTGTGCAATTCAGAGCACTCTGCAGACTTCATCAACAATCAGTTCAAAACAATTCTTAAAAATTCAAAAATAAATCCATGATAAATCAAAATATTTCAGCTATGAAAGGGTACCTAAATAATTCATTACTAAAACATGGAAAAACTTTACAGTTTTTCATCTATTTAATAAAGTCATTGTTTCAGCTACAACTCCTGTTGAGAAAGCGGAAGTAACCCTTGGCTTTCGTGGAGAATTTGACGACATCAACGCTCAACCAGTGGTGAATCAGATTACAAAAATAATCAAGAACTTGAATGGTAACATAAACAGCGATGGTCTCAAGACTGAGATTATGCCGAGTGCTTTGTATATCCGCTTTTCACTAATTGGAAGCAACAAAGTGGATGTTGCTTATAAACTGGAGCAAATGGTAAGCTTTTGGTAAATGTATATCAAGACGCCAACAGGAATTTTGCAAGTGAGGCACAGAACTGAATGTGCAAACGCAGAAGTGAAAACGCATTTGAAAAATGAAACGTTGCTTTATAAAGTTTTATTGAAGCGTATAATTTGGCTATAAACATATATTCAGCAAAAACAACATTTCCTCGGGATAACCATTCCTTCTTTACTTCCTTCCTTGAACTCATATGGATATTTCTCATATGATCCTAGATGATAAATTAAGATCAATTTTTATTCCAACCATTTTTATGTCTTTGTGATAACATCCAGTCTTTTCAATTTAAACGTGAGGTAAGCGTTGGGTACTAAGCCTCTTTCATTTCTGGTGTCTTTGTCTTTTGAGATTGATTTTCCTCACAATATCGTTTGGAGCTTCTTAAAACGTTGTTGTTGTTGTTATTGTTGTTGTTGTTGAACATCTGACTTTCCATCAAAATCTGTCTATTTTTCTTTGTCTTGGTCTAGTGGAATCCCGTTCGTTTTAGAACTTCCATTCCCTCACCAGATCCTTCATGCTTGTTGTCTGCGACACATCGACGGGTGCACTTTAGAGTGGTTACAATTCTTTCCGACCAACAACCCCTTTGTCGATGTCATCCAAACAAGTTATTTGTACTGATTATTTGATTTTTGTTGGGCGTTTTCAGACTAGATCTTTTTCACTTCTTTTTATTTCATTACGTAAACTTAATTTATTATTAATTTTCTTCAATTTCGTAAAGAGATGATTTGCTTACAGTTTGACAATTTGTAGGTAACTGATCACACACAAAATAAATATACGTAAGTACGCTAGGTAATGATTATACAGGGTGTCCCATAAGCACATGATTAAAAAGGTACTGCGACATTCTTTGGCTCAAAATAAGACGATCTGACTTAACTTCCATTAAGAAAAGATGTCTGGCTCCTCCGCTATTGATTGTCAAAGTTCTTGAAAAAAATTATGTTTTTTGTAATATCTGGAGAATATTACTATGGATTTTAATGAAACTTGCTGTGGACTTGTTCCTAAGTTTCATGTTTTGATGAAGCAACCGCTTCCATCCGCCTTGGGCAAGTGGTAAATTCATGAGTGTCTTGATACAAAAATTACCAGAACTTTTTATTTGGTCGCTAGAATCAATTCATTTTTTTATTGATGCATCAGTCATTTTTCGAGATTTTCATGCTCTTGGTAAAATTTTGTAGCATTCATAGTTTTTACACAAAAAAATGTTTTCCGTTTCGTTGCGACAACAATATTTTAGACGTATCGCAGTAATCGTATCGTATCTGCCCTTTTACAAGAAACGGCTTTCTCTAATAATTATGCCAATTCTTTTACCTAGGACATCAATATTGAAAGTAAAATGGTTACAATTTTAAAATCTGTCGCGACGCGACGGATTGAATATCATTTTATTTCATTAGATTTATTTTTTGTTAACGCGCATAAAATCTAAAGATGTACATAGGAAAGACATAATTCTCTTTATTGAAACTGGATGATAGTTACATAGATACGGTAGATGATGATGGAATTACAAAACATGTTCGATATGTCAGCCATTTTCGTGGATCTTTCAATTGAAATTGAATTGAACCCTACTCAACATTTCTGGACCATTCCGTATTACGTCCATCTCGTTTTGAATCCTATGTAATTATTCTTCCTGGGATTCCACAGGAGTGGCATAAACTATTCTTTAAGGCTCCCCATAGAAAAAAAATTAATGCCATTAAGTCGGGGAACTGGGGGGCCATTCGACAAGAACATGTCTTCTTCCGATTCACTTATGTGAAAAAGTATTATTTAAATGTGCAGTTACATCTGCACTAAAGTGCGGAGGAGTAGCATCGTGCATGAACCACATCTGAGCACGAAGATCGAGAGAGACATCTTCCATTAGAACCGGAAAAGTATTATTCAAAAAATTGAGATCATTTTCGCCATTCAAGCGGCGCGGCATGACATAAGGACCCAGATCATGTGCTTATGGGCACCCTGTATGATTTCTTCTTGGAAAAGATTTATACTAAAGCTGCATGACTATGTCAAGTATCCGTTGGAAAATTGCTTGCAAATGCCTCTTTGTGGCGTTCTCCAACTGACCCGCAAACTTATTCCTGTTGACCTGCATGTACAGCACAGACCATATACAAAATGTAGATACCTACAGCGCGAACGCCGATGTTACGGCTTATATTAATAAGTCATTGGAGCACTATAAATTATGTTTTTTACTAGATATAAGGATATTGAGATAATCAGCCTACATGAGAGAGTCAAACTTTTAAAGAAAACATTGACTTTTATCATATACTGCGAAATTTATTGTAATAAGCTGTTCATCTTCAAAACAACTACATTTTTTCAGGTTATGCAACAGCGACTGCCAGGCCTTACAGCTGACATTACCCGCTCCAGGGTAATTCATAAGTTATTTTCGCAAGATCCGATGCAGGTGGACAAAATCATAGCTTTGGAACAGAGGGAAATCGTTTCACAATCTCCCGTCTCAGTAGTAGCCCCATACCACACAGCTTTGATCGTCATCGCAGCAGCCTCGACTTTTGTTATTTGTATCCTCACGCTGTTGGTCATTTTGTACAGAAGAAAGGTAGGTCGGTGATTCTTATGACGTTTCATTTGCGCTACGTTTTTTAGAACACCCTGTATTTGCTAGACTAAAAGTAGAATGCAGTTTTTTTATATTTAACCAGCCGCAACTACTACTCTATTTTTAAATTAGTACAATGAAACTTTTTAATAATCGTTTTATTTCTTAATGTATATCTGTACTTATATACAAGTGTATATTATTTGTTTAATAAATACGCCAATTTATTTTATTACAGATGAACAACGTCAATGCTCAAAAAGTTGTTGAGCAGGATAACCGATTCATATCTGCCAACAATCGACCGATTTATATCGAATTGCCAAACGAAAAGTACAGCTCTTTATCGCCAGATTTGAACGCAAGAAAGACATAAGCGTGTGTGTATGTACAGTTTTAGTTGTGTAAAATAATAAATTAGTTTAACTAACGCTATTTTTTTATTTATAGAATTTATGCCACTTGGATAAAACAATATGTTTGTGATTTTTTTATGTATTTTATAATAAGACTTTAGGTTATATATTTGTGTAGGTTTTATTCATCTGGCATCTGAATAAGTTATTTATAAAAAATAAAGACTTGTATATAATAAACGTTTGCGTTTTTGTGTACCCAGTTCAAAAAATTTTAAATAAACTAAAATGTATCTACCCACTTGGTGTGCCATTGGTAAGAATAGTCAGTTATTTCTCTTTTGTTTTCTACCCATCCTCATTTAATTGAAAAACAGAAAACATTAATAAGAATAGTTGGGTTAGTTTGACTGTTTCATCAAACTCATCATGACACCAAAAAGACGTTTTCAAAATGCTTAGATCAAACACAATGACGAAAATTTGTTTGATCATAATAATTTGATATCAAAAGTAACTTTTACATCATCAAATTATTTTGATCAAACCGATTTGGCCAAAAAAAGTTAAGGGGGTCGATATCAGTTCAGTAATCATCATAAAATTGAATTGTCAGGGAATTATACGGCAAAAAAATATATTGCTCAGTTAGAGTACTTACAATAATCTCTTTCAGGGAAACAGCCAAATTAACAAATATTTCAATGAAAATTGTATGGAAACTGTGAATAGCGGCTCGCCAGATGACGCAAGTGACGCACCGCTTCACCTAAAATTTCCGTTTGGTTATGCAATTTAAAATTATTTTAAATTTTATATAAATTTTATAATTTAGGTATAATTCTACATATATTGCAAATGTATTGTGTTTTGTTTGTTTTATACGCAGAAATAAACAGAATAGTTGCGCGGTGAACGCCTTCTAAAAAACCATTGCCTCCCTTATGGGCCTTTATCTGTCTTTGCCAAAAATAATTCTAATAAGGAGAAAACAAGACCTATTTTCTCTAAAAAACTCTGAGAAAGTCTTTATAAGTCCGTTAAACTTTTGACAGACTTATAAAGACTTTCTCAGAGAAAGTTGGATTTCTGCCAAATTACGCAAAAAATAAGATTTAAACAGAGTTTGACAGACTTATATAGACTTTCTACGAGATCTGTGCTTTGTCTCGATGTTGAAAAAAGACAAAGTGTACTTTCGGAAGTTCCGGAATGAATTGTATTCGAAGTATAAGTGGTTGTGAGGAAGTGTTATTTATTTAAAAAAAACTTTTCTGTATGCCGTGTGTTTCTATTTTTTATAAAGTCTAAATGAAAATCCTTCGCACGAACGTCAGTTTTTCAGTAATATTGCAAATGCAACTAAAATTTCCAGATTCATTTAAAGTCGATTGACCTTGAAAATTTGGAAGTTTTTGCCTGCGGCGCTTTTTTTTCTTGTTAGTCAATCAATGAATATGCCTCACCTACTCTCAATGTCACGAGCCGCCACTAGTAACAATAAATTTCGAACAAATAACATTTTCGTTACTAGAAAGATGTCGCGCCTGTGTTCGTAGAAATGGAAGTATTTTTAAGCATTTACTCAAATAAAATCGTTAAAATGATGACTAATGGTATTAATTTCTTTATTCAAATAAATAACCGAATGATTAGTGTTTGTCGTGTCATTTAAGTAAAAGTGTTTTCAGTTCGTTTGACAAAAATGACAATAAAAACATACTTTATAAAAAAAATCTAATCAATCTAACACAATCACAATGTAACCAATCTAAACGACCTAAAAATCTAAAAAATAATTAATTATTATTGACCTATCTTAAAAGATATGTTTTTCACTGTTTATCAGTGGAGTTGAAAATAACTTTTAAAAAAATTTGTTTACGCATTTACAAATTTAAATGCCTTTTTGTTGAAAACGGTTGGCTTTAGAGATATTAGCTTTTTTAAACAGAAAAGTTTGGGGAAAAGATTTTTCCAGCCCAAAGTGAAATACAAAATGACACAAAACAGTTTTGGCAGTTTAAATTGGTCGCTTGTAGCGCCCTCTGGAAGGTACAAGGAAATTATCCATAAATTCGAATTTCTCATCCTAAAAAACCCGCGGATACGAAATTTCACGAGATTGGCAAGGTATACCTTTTTTAAGCAAAAAAAAATTGTCGAAATATTAAAGAAAATGTTATTTATTTTTTTCAATTTCAACAACCTGCATCTCGAAAACTAAGTGTTTATGAGCACCATTGTATATGACTTTTCTCCATTAATTTTCATCGTAGAATCTAGTGGTAAAGTTTAGCACATTCTTTAATGGACCCCCTGTATGGAGGGATTGATTTCAATTCTAAATTGGGCTATTCTAGTGGCGGCTCGTGACATTGCCGCAGGCAAAAACTTTCAAATTTCCAAGGTCAATCGAAATTTTTAGTTGCATTTGCAATATTACCGAAAAACTGACGTTCGTGAGAAAGATTTTCATTTAGATTTTATAAAAAATAGAAACACACGACATACAGAAAAGTTTTTTTAAATAAACACTTCCACACAACCACTTATACTCCGAATACAATTCATTCCGGAACTTCCGAAAGTACACTTTGTCTTTTTTCAACATCGAGCGAAAGCACAGGTCTCGTAATTTTAAAAATCCTTTTTGTCCTCAATTTTCAATCTGGAAATTGGTGTTTCCAATAAAATACATACTGGATCATACATAGGAAACATTTCTACAATTATTGCGATGCTGCTTCAATTTCATGTGCTGGCCGCCTCGTTGCCATGACAACCGCCGTAAACAACGCTACGAAGTGAAGCGAAATACAAACTTATTTGGATCCGCGTCACTTGCTTATGCTATACGTTGTATGGTACGAAGTTGATGTTCGCGCTCAACGAAGCCCTTATGGAAATTGAAAACCAACTTTCTCTTAGAAAGTCTTTATAGTCTCAAACTCTGTTTAAATCTTGTTTTTCGCGTAATTTGGCAGAAAACCAACTTTCTCTGAGAAAGTCTTTATAAGTCTGTCAAAAGTTTAACGGACTTATAAAGACTTTCTCAGAGTTTTTTAGAGAAAATAAGTCTTGTTTTCTCCTTATTAGAATTATTTTTGGCAAAGACAGATAAAGACAAATTTCCATAAGGGAGGCAATGGTTTTTTAGAAGGCGTTCACCGCGCAACTATTCTGTTTATTTCTGCGTATAAAACAAACAAAATACAATACATTTGCAATATAGAATTATACCTAAATTATAAAATTTATATAAAATTAAAAATAATTTTAAATTGCATAACCAAATGGAAATTTTAGTTTAGGTGAAGCGGTGCGTCACTTGCGTCACCTGGCAAGCCACCACTGATTCTTGCTTGAATCTGATGAAAATTTCTTCCTCTAACATCTCAGAATGTCAAAGTTGCTATTGCAGTCTACTATGTAATTTGAATCCCCATTTTATTCGAATATCAAAGTGTGTTTTCAGTTTACTCGAAAATCAGGCTTTTTTGGAAAGCATAAGAATAGTAATTTGTAGAAAATTGAAAGACAAAACCGAAAATGTCATGATTGTTAGCGTAAAGCAGTGTACTATTTTATTTAAAAAAATATTCCACCGATACCCTGTATCTCCACCACTGGCACATCAAAATTTTAAGAAAAGGCCTCAGATTTTGGACAATGTTTACATAAATACATGCGCCCTATTTCAAATTAACCCACTAGTTTTTAAATTATTTAAAAAAATTTAAAATATTTTTTTAAGTTTAACATCCCGTATCTTTTTAACAAAGCGTCCTAGATAAAAACATTATACGAAAGACCCCTTAAAATTCACCAAAGAATACAAGGTTTCATTTTTGGTCACCGTTTATGAATCACCCTATATAACTATGTAAAAACGTTTCCTAAAATCGATTTAAAATATTTTCGCATAAGAAGGAAGAAAAATTCTACGAAAAATTATCTTGAGATCAACTATATCTTAATCTAATGTTCATTCATTTACCTACTAGTTAAATCTTCACATGAAAATATTCCACACCTTGTGTTGAAAATATAACTAAAGGTAAAAATTCAATGAATTTGTATACAATGGCCGAGATATCTTTAGACAGCCTCACTAATAATTACAGAATTTCCACACTACTAAATGTAAGTATGTATTTTGGATATTATGTAAGTTCGTCTGATCCACATGCAATTGTATTTCAACTAGAAAATATTGTTTTGTGTCATTATTTTTATATATTTGTGATGACTTTCAGAATCTTAAACACCCTGTATCTTGCAAATAAAATAATTTTGATCAATTATCAAATTTTAGATTCAAGATTTTAATATTTATTTTAATATACAGGATGTCCACGGACCGAGATGAAAAGAAGGAAAACTTTTTCTCATTTTATGAATCACTTTTTTTAATTATTCTGCTTTTATTTGAAAATAAAAGAATGTTGTTTTAAGCGGAAGAAAATACATATACAGAGGAAAAGATTATTAGAAATGTAGTTGATTTTATCTCGATAACACACTATAATATACGTTAAGAAAGATAAAAATACTAATTATTTTCCAACATTTCATATATTGTCTTAACCGCGACAGATAAAAAATTTTTAAGCTGAAATTTTGGCAAATTAGGAAACAAAATATTTTTACTTCTGTAGGCCTGATCAAGACAGAGTTTATTTTCGGTATAGATATAATGTCTATTTTTTACACAAGATATCAAAACATTCTATTCACAATAAAAATGTATGTTCATCATATTTTTTAATTTAATAAATCACTGAATTAAAATCAATTGCCACCAAATTTGGGTCAATAACATAAATTTTACTTATAGATTATTTTTTAACCCAACAAAATTCTTTCCAAAATATTAAATGTGTAAAAATTTTTTTATCATTGAGTTAATGTTAAGAAGATATATTGACGCTCTGTACATATAAAATGTTTGATAAGGATTAGTTTTTTGTATATTTCTTAACTGGTACAATGTACTATCGAGTTCTAAGGATAAAATCAGCTAATATATTTCTAACAATTTAACAGAGGACACCTTGTATATGTTAGCCCTCTTAAATGTTAATTTTTTGTAATATGATAGATACACTGTACATAAGTTTTATCTGTAGGTGAACACAACATTAATTTCTGAGAGCAAAATTGGCAAATAATAAACTAATATGGATATTATTTATATAAAAAATATCTGTTATTTTTGTGATAATTAAGAAATTAAAGCATTCTAATCAACACGAGTTGAGGAAACCAAACCACTATCTGCCTTAGCATAAATCACAATAGGATGACTGATAAAATAACCAGTACTGTATGAGTGCAATATTTTATATAAAAATCAATTTATACTAAAAATAATTTAATCATAAAATTTTAGTGAATTTATTTTTTTTTAATCTTCCATTTATGTCACTTAATTCAAAACACAAATTAAACTCAGAAACAGTTAGTCGCGATAATGAACTGTAAAACAAATTACTATTAAAGGCACCTACTAAAAGTAAAACTTTGTAAAAATGTACAAATAACATTCATACAAACTGTTTCTCCCGAGTACTTATTGAATCATTTAGCCTAGTTTCACTCTCAATGGCCCTTAAGAAATATTCTTGGTAATTATTAATTTTTCCACATCCACAATAGTATGCCATATTCTAACTTTTTTGTAGTATTTTTCTACATAAATTAATTAATTGTACTTACTTGATATACCAAATTGGGCTTGTCACAAAAAGGAAAACATAATAAATATGTTTAATCTAAGAACTGACAGATAATACAGTTAATGGTGTATACGACATTGTAAAATTACACGTAACAATAAAAAATAAAAAGTTCTATATAATGAAATGCATCCATATTTCATAAAGTACGGCCCTAATCCTTAATAACGCGATATATAAATATACTTGCACAATTTATATAAGTTTGGACAAAATACGAGAGATCTAAATTAGAATCACAATTAATAATACTCCATTATTTCACTCTAGTGATGTATTCGAACTGGGTGAAGTCCGGTCTCTTTTAGCACTTTTTTTACTTTTCGACTTGTCTTTCTTTTTTATCGATCCTGAACTAGAAGCGGAATCTGCCGGAGAGGTACTATTGGAATGATCCTGCAAGTGAAGTATATCTCTTAAATTTGTTAAATCGTCATCGTCTCCTTCAACATCAACATTCACCGACTCTACAGGATCTGGTTCCAAAACCTTTTTTGGAGTCCCTAAAACATTAAGTACAGTTTGTTTAAAGTATATCAGACATTATATAAAAAAACTTTGAGACAATAGCAGCATAGAGAAAATAAAAGAAAAACATGTTTAATAGAAAATTAACTACCTCTATTTTTCTTGCCACCATTTTTCTCTTTTTTCTTTTTCCTACGGTCTCCAGAATTCCAGTCTACATCATCATCGTCATCACTTGGTATTCCTCCATAAGAATTGTCTCTATCATTACTATTGTTCGCCACTCGCCTGGAAGCATTACGTGACCTACTAATTCTACCCATCCCCATGCAAGCTTCTAAATGAGGTGCAAATCGGGTAGCAGCTACTGCCCTATCACAATTAGGGCAGTTACAGTCTTGAATCTTTTTTAAATTATGCTGAGAGAAAATATCAATATCCCCCGAATCATCCTCTTCACAACTATCATCTTCTTCCAAATCATAAGCGTTTGTTTTATATTTACGATGTAAATCAAAAATTATTCCTAATGTCATCTCGTCAATTAAGTTATTTAAAAAATTTTCTACTGATGTTCGTAAGACTTGTTTATTACTGACCAAATCATGAAAGTCTTTTGCTAGACTATTAAACAACTGCTTCTGGTCTGGTTTTTGGCGTTTTGACATGTTTTTCAATAATAAATTTTTGAATTTACCGCGGAATAACCGGTTTTCGGTTTCTAACCTACAAAATTGTACCCGTACATAAAATATATGAACACAACAATAAATTTATCACACAATTGTAGACTAAATTTGATTTTACAATTAATTATTACAGGCAACCCGATCTGAGATTGTCCTTTTAAACGTTAAAATAACCGTTCACAATGCCTTCATTTTTGACAAATATTCCATAACCAACATTTCGTTGGCTAAAAGCAATATTGCCAACTATAGGGTTATTTAAAATTTCAAGGTTATTTTTATTTTGATGCTTTCAGTTGGTGTCTTCCTCAGATTAAGGTACGTTTACATTACAAAATATAGAATGTAAATTTTCACTGCCGTGAAGTTCGCTATTTTGAAATACATATTCGCATTTCGTTTTTTTTTTTGGAGATATTTAGTAGTACATCTAGAACATTCCTATATTTTTGTAATTAGTAGGTTATTCAATTAACGTAGAAAAATAATATTATGGTTATTAAAAATGTGAATTTTCTGCACTTTGTACATTTGCTTTTCAAGAGTAAAAGTAAAAAAAGGGACTTTTAAGTTAGAAAAATACGTAACAGAGATATAATTAGGATTTAATAAAGGGAGTACTTAAATACAGTTAAATATTTAATTTATTTGGGAACGACTTTCACGTGATTTTAAAACAATTTTTATAACAAATATACCCAAATTCTTTAAAATAACTACTTAATCTTAGGTTAAAATTTTGTAGCAAAAAGTGAAATAAAATTTAACTTGTGACGTCACGAAACCAATAAAACAAATTTCCCATTCCGTGAATTCTACAAAAAAACTAAAATATACGAAAAAGTGAAATATGCAAAAAAATAACAAATTTTGCGATTCCAAATAACTTACCGTAATCCAGAATACAGTGTTCAATTGACCTTGAAGTGATTGTCAGATAAGGAAGGTAATTTGGAAGAGTCATATATATATAGGGAAGAGTATATACCTCTGTTCTTTTCGGGACAGATTTTTTATCAGAGCAGTGCCATAACAAGTACAAAAGACAATTTTAAGAAAGCTGCACTGCACCGCCATAACAGTTTTTTTATTCACTATTTAAACATTTCTGTCAGATTATGATTGACCGTTTAGTAGTTCAGTTGGCAACTTTTAGAACAGAGTAGACCTATACAGTTCGAAGAACAGAAACGACAGGGAAAATAATTTTACAATTAAATTTTAAGTTTATTATGACCGTAATAAAGAAATTGGAGTTATGTATGTTTTATTTTTTTAGAATAAAAGTGAGTTTAAATTTCTATGAAAAAAACAATATCCGTTACCAGTACCCAAGGATATTAAATATCCTTGACCAGTACCAATAAAAATTCGTTTTAAGAAGTCTTCTTTGTCATAATCATAAATTATACTTTATTTGCATCACAACAGCACTGTATAGTCGGTGTCGGAGAAGCCTCTGGAAAACGCAGAGGGCCCTGCGACAGACCGCTCGCCGTAAAATTCCTCCAATCCACGGTAGTGTGGGGGTGGTTTACACGAACCAGGAAATGGCCGAGGCTTTCGCCGATAGCCTGGAACTGCAGTGTAGACTGCCTCAGCTGCCCGGCGAAGACGAGGAATTCGAGATAGTGGCTGAGCGCGCGGCCCGACGCGTCGACAGAGAGCCAGACAATGACATAATCCCCCCCGCAACACCTGACGAACTAAGACTGACAATACGCAGACTTAAAAACAGAAAAGCCCCCGGACCCGACAATATACATAACACGACACTTAAACGACTACCACACAAGGGCCTCATGGCCCTACTAAACATAACAAACGCGACACTCAGACTAAGACACTTCCCTACCCGCTGGAAAACAGCAAACATAATCCTTATCCCAAAACCCAACAAAGATCACACCATCCCATCCAACTACCGGCCCATTAGCCTGCTCCCGGCTATGAGCAAAGTGGTAGAAAAAATTATCCTAACCCGTCTAAGAACCCACTCCCAAGAACTGCAAGTCATTCCAGACGAGCAGTTCGCCTTCCGACCCAATCACTCCACTGAACTCCAAATCCTTCGCCTTACCGAGCACATCACGGCGGCCTTCAACAGGGGACAGTACACTGGTGCTGTCTTCCTGGACGTCGCAAAGGCCTTCGATACGGTTTGGCATGAAGGCCTACTGATGAAAATGCTCACCAACCAATATCCCATATCCTTTACCAAACTCATAAAATCCTACCTACACCACCGAAAATTCCGCATCCAAATCCAAGATTCCCTTTCCACCACCCGTCCCATGGAGGCCGGTGTCCCCCAGGGCACCGTCCTGTCCCCACACCTATACACCATTTACAACTCCGACATCCCACATCCCCCCAACACCAACATATACTTATACGCCGACGACCTGACAATCACATCCCAATCCGTAGATCCTAGATATTCCGTCTACCTCCTCCAAAGCTCCTTAGACCAACTTGAAACCTGGTGCAACAGGTGGAAAGTCAAAATTAATCCCAACAAAAGTTCGGCTATCCTTTTTACCAAACGAAAAATCCCACAAAACCTTGACAGACTGACACTATCCCAGGAACCCATCTCCTGGAATCGACAAACACGATACCTGGGCGTGACGATGGACCAGCGTCTCACGTGGAAACCGCACATCGTGGAGACGGTGGCGCGAGCGAAGACCACCAGGGCTAGGCTCTATCCCTTACTCAAAGGTGGAAACACCCTCAGTTTAAGGAATAAGCGAACGCTTATCAAGGTGGTACTTCAACCGCAGCTAACCTACGCCTCCACGGCGTGGGGTCACGCGGCAAAAAGCCACTTAAAGTCATTACAGGCTGTGGAAAACATAGCCCTCCGCACGGCCACCGACGCGCCCTGGTACGTAAGAAACACTGACATATTACGAGACTTACAATACACAAACGCTACACAGACAATAAGACAAAACGCGGAGAAACGATTTGACGTAGCCGCTAGACATGACAATCCCCTCCTCAGGCAAGCCGTTGACTACGTACCCGACGTGACCGACAAACACAAAAGACCTAGACACCAACTTTTTGACCCTGGGTGACCACCCCAATGACCCCCCCCCTGCCCGCTAACCTTTTCTGTTTCAGAGACAGCCAGGATCAAGAAACGAAGACAACGACACACACACACACACACACACACCCCCCATACCCTCCTTACCCCTCCCCTCCCGCGCTAGCCTAAGGGCCACCTTAGCAAAGCGCATCCCAGGCTGCATAGCCGCACTACCCTACCCAACCATACCACACATAAACATGACACTACCCCCGGGGTTTACACAGACGAGCCGGCGAAGCAAGAAGAGCGCCAGAAGAAAGGGCCCTAGCCGGCGGGGCCCAGCCAGGACAAAAGGAGGTCCCACAAAGCGCCTACACCGGCCGCATTTGCGGTCGGGGTAGACGACGGATGGGGCCCACCTACGAAGGCTGTCCAGGCCTACACGAGATGAGGCAGGATAAAGAGGGATAATCCCCCTCGATCCCAAATCATTGAGGCCAATTTCTAGCCATAGAATAATGGCGCGCGCGCGGCGCGGTGTCGTAGTACGAGTATGTAGGTATTTGAAACAAGAAGCTGTTTATATCTCATCGTTGCATTTCTTAAAAGAATTGAGGAGCAATTTGGCAACAGGAGTAGCTTTCGTGAGGTTTTTTTTAATCTGTAACAATTTGCACCTTTTCCTAAAAAAGGCTCCTCTGGCATAGATGAATAGACTTGGAAGTATTTAGATGTTATGCAGAAGTTCCTTAGAATTCTCTAATTCATTTTTTTTATAAATGTACCAGGGTTGCCAAATATACGGTAAATACTATAACCATTAGAGCAGACACTACATGAAGGAAGCAGGCTTACGGCGAAAGTGTAGACGAATGACAGAGAAAGAAAAAGATAATTTGGGTATCTCATTTCTCTCTCGCACAGGCATGTGATTGGCTAATGCAACTCCTTCCTCAGCAATTAGAGAAAGAGAAATTACCCAAAGACAAGTACATCCCTTTTTCTCTACAGCGTCTACACTTTTTAACAAGCAGTGTTTCTTCTATGTAGTATATGCTCTAAGTACTTTACCACACATTAATTAATTGTTCAGTAATTTGGATTAAAAAAATATTTAATTTTTTTGTAACTATTAACCATTTCGATTTTTAATTTACGGAGAGCATAAGTGGCTAAATGAACTTCACTGGTCTCTGCAGTGACTTCATTTAAACTTGGTACACATATTTATTAAAGCATACCCAAACCGTGATATGGCAAGTACTTACTATGACGATTATTCAGTTACAGGTCTCCTTTCATCTTACAAATATCGAATAGAGCTGAAGAAATGTGGAATCCGATGACTCGACCGATGATGACTACCTCAGAATTTGGATGACTACCTTGGTTTTTATTATAGAATAAAAAGCCTTACAGATGGCGCATGAATACTTACCTTTCTTAAAGTCACTAGATACCTACCCTTATGGCCCATCCACAGCTTTATCTACAGTATAAACCACCCTTTAGATGTTTGGTAAAATTTTTCAAAATATGATTAATGAATAGGCAACTCTATATACATATTTAAGTAATGATGTACGCGAATTGGTATCAATTATCAAAAGAATGATTATGATAATTAGAATAACTATTACGTAAATAGGTACTAATAAAACCAGATAAAGGATGTACCTTTATGTTTGTTATTATAGCTACATACTACATTTTATTTGTCATAACAAAGTAGGTATTTAACATTAAAATTTTAATTAATTACATTAAATTTTTTACAATTATTTTTATTAAAATTATTTACATATTTATACTTATGTACATCGTCAAACTCATTAACAATAAAAATGTAATATGCAGTTATATTTGTGAACTGGACTATATTTTCTAGCTATTAAAGAATGAGCAAAGAGAGTGCATAATTTTATTTATAATAAATAAAAATACCATAAAATAAAGTATAACATAAAATACTGCCCTTGGCTGTTTTCACCAACCAAATGTTTAGCTCGATATCTTACTTACAGCACGTTTCACCCTAAGAAAAGAGACAAATTGATAATAAAATAAATATGCATTTATTATAAATATATTTCAATTCGTTGTGATTCAAATGCAGGTTCCACAATTCCCAAAGGACAATTTTTTACATGTAAAACACACATCCTCAAAAATTGGTTTAACTGTACCTCTATAATAGATCATGGTGCTTACATTTGATTTTGCTTTGTATATTTATTACTTATATTATACTGTAAACTAATTATTACAATTACAAAAAGTGCAATTTCAATTATTTATAATATTTGGTACTATTTAATACTGACTGTCACACCCATCCAATATAGAAGCGAATTTTATGATACAGTAAATCGCTACAAAAAATTATGGTCCACGGGCCCACGTACAAAGAAAAAAATTATTACCAGCAAGCTGTAACTTTACGTACAGCTTAAGTTTGACAAGTCTCCCAAGATTTGACTACGAGGAAAATTCAACACTGGTAAGTTTTCCCGTGATTTTCAGGAAAACATGTCAATCTGGCATAGACATGGAATGTTATCACCAGCACTTTTTTTTTTAGTTTAAATGAGATATATTTTTTTTAGACCCCCCCAAAAAATTTGTCCGACAAGAATGGATATTTTGAGTTTGTCCCCCACCCCAAATATGTCGATTTGGTGACATTATGGTTGGTGACAATCAGCAAGCTGATTTTTCTGGGAGGGTTTGGTAATAAGACTTGAAATGAAAGTATCTGATTGTCCGACAAAATTCTTGAGAAGTTTTTGCAGTCCAACGCCCCGAATATGTCAACGACAACATGGTTGGTGATAACCAGCTGTCGGACAAAAGTGTCATTATTTAAAAAAAATGCAACATTAGTCTGAGAATTTAATTGTCCGACAAAATTATCGGATTTTTTGCTTGTCTGACAAAATTAAACTATAAAATTTTGCGGTTTCAATACTTACGCATGATGTAGAAGAAAAATTTATATTTAATAAAAAAAATATATGAATAAAAAATATTTTGTTTAAATTTCTCAAATTTCAAAATAAATATGACTAATTTAAATTTATTTTTTTATACAATTACAAAAAAATTGTATACGAGGTGGTCCCGAGCTAATAGGTCAAAATTCATGGGTAGATTCTCGAAACAAAAATATTGCGATTTAGCCTAACTTACCTTAGTCCAAAAGTTGATAGTTAAAGAGATACAAATGTAAAATATTATTTTAGTTTTTTTTCATTTATTCCTTAACAAATGCAAATATCCTCACAAAATTTTAAGGTTTGGGTAAAGGAATTGAAATGTGTTCACATTTTGGTTAAAGTTCATAGAGGGCGCTAGCTGCAGTAGATTGAATTTGTTAAAAATGACATAACTTTTTTATACTTTAAGGTGTCTCATCTTTGGTATCAAATTCTTATTTTCCAACTTTTTTCAAACAAAAAAGCTACACTTTATAAAACTAGCTGTCTCGCACCGTTTTCGAGATATTTGGCTTTGAAACTTCCAATGCTGTTGAATTAAATTACAATGAAGTAAGTACCTACTTATTATTAATTTAGCGGTGAAGTTGCTTAAGTTTGGACGAAAATCAAATAATTAACATATTCCACTTGTCTTATTGCTATCAGTTGTATGCTACTGTCCATTAAGTATTATTCTTACCTAAAATTACATCTTAATTTAAATTCTATGTACATAAATGTGAGAGAGAATGCCGAGACTTCCGTTTTTGGGGTTTCATGAAATCAGTTGTTTATGGAGAAACTATAAACACCTATTAAGAACTTTGGCAGCAGGTTTTAAATGCTGCAGTCATTTTGCATTAAGGATTTATACTTTATAACAAGACAATCTTTTAATAAACGCGTTGATAAATGTGTAATATTTTTAAAATTGGTTTAATTGGTTTTTCAAGAACAAAACTATGTGTAAACTGTTTGTCAAAACAAGATTGCAAATTTTAATTTAAACTCGAGCAAAAATTTATGCATTCATTTTACAGTTACCATTTTTTTTTAAAATAGTTAAATAGTTTATAAAATAAAATGTACACATGTATAAGTTTTTTGAACAAAGAAATTATTTTGATGGAGATTAATTAAATTAATTTTTATAGCCATAATTATTTATGAATTTCTGTTGCTCCTGTTAACAACATTAAAAAATTAATTATTTTATAGCGGAATGGACATTATGTACCACAAAAATAGTTATTTTTCCCATTTTTAAGGCAAACTTTCCAATCTTTTTGGCAGACAAGTATATTATTGTGTTATACATTTCAATTATTACAGAAAAAAATCAAAACCAGATTGCTGGTTATCACCAACCATGTTGTCGTTAAATCGACATATTCGGGGCGTCAGACTGCAAAAACTTCTCAAGAATTTTGTCGGACAATAAGATACTTTCATTTCAAATCTTATTACCAAACCCTCCCAGAAAAATCAGCTTGCTGGTTGTCACCAACCATAATGTCACCAAATCGACATATTTGGGGTGGCGGGCAAACTCAAAATACCCAACATTTTTGTGGAACAAATTTTTTGGGGGGTAAAAGAATATATCTTTCATTTAAACTAAAAAAAAAGTGCTGGTCATAACATTCCATGTCTATGCCAGATTGACATGTTTTCCTGAAAATCACGGGAAAACTTACCACTGTTGAATTTTCCTCGTAGTTAAATCTTGGGAGACTCGTCAAACTTAAGCTGCTCGCAAAGTTACAGCTTGCTGGTAATCATTTTTTTCTTTGTACGTGAGCACGTGGACTATTACCCTTATAGAAGGAATCTTATTTATTTATTTAATTCCACACAGACAAAGTTGCTTATAATTACATGGAATCGTAAGATAATAAAGAATTTATAATATGCGAGACTGACTTACAAAATAAGCAAACTATACTTAAATGTAATCAAATTAATCACAATCTGCAGAGGTGTAGACAATGCAAAGGTACACAAAACATTACGAGACCTTCTCAACAATAAATGTTACGTACGGTATTAGACCGTTATTACACGAAAACTGATTCAACAGTCTTAACATCAATACTATATGAGCATAATTTTTTGTAGTTCTTCTTAAAGGGTCATGGAGAGATTCATGCATTCTCATGTTTCTAGAGGGAATTTTGAAATTTACCAGAGATAGGATAGGATAAACAGGAATAATGAATGAAAAAGTTCAGCACTTTAAAACCGAATAGTAACAATGCTATTATTCGCTGGTTATATCATAAATTAACTTTAAATTCCCTACATAAATCATTAGTACGAATATAATTGTAGTTCGGGGGCCTATTATATTTTTTTATATTAGGCGGAAGCACATATTTTTTCAATATGATTCCTATAAGATAGTTGAAAATCAATTGCCACACCTAGATCCTTCCCATTATTAACAAATTGTTCATTTTATAGGTATACAAAATTGGCTGTTTATTACGAGTGAACGTTACTACATGACACTTAATGATGTTAAAGAGGAGTTTATTTTTTATGCACCACTCATAAGCTAATATATCACGTTGTAAAAGTAGTACATCATTAAGACATCTTATAGGTTTAAATATTTTAAGATCATCAGCGAACATTAAAAGATTTGTGTTGCACAGTATATCATCAGGTGAGTCGTTAATGAAATACAAAAACAAAAGCAGTCCCAAATTTGAGCCTTGAGGCACACCCGAATTTACGTTAATTTTTCGGAAAGATGGCAATTTAACAATAAATGTACGATACTAGAGAGTACATTAACACCTTTATTAACACATCAGCCACACCATATCCACAGTTTTCTTATCAAAATGTCATGATCTACTATGTCGAAGACTTTCCTAAAATCCATATAAAAGGTCTTCACCTGCATGCCTGCCTTGAATGCATCTAATATATTATGCGTAAATGTCAATAAATTAGTGCTAATTCAACGTTTTATTACGAAACCATGTTAATTGGTGCTACCTGTATTACTAAAATGCCTCCATAAAACCGAGTACAATATTTGTTCAAAGATTTTGGCGGGCACTAGGAGTACAGCAATTGGATGCTAATTTTCACTATTAGTCTTTTCCCCTGATTTCTGTATTGGAGTAATGAGAATCAAATTATACCGGGTGATTCAAAAAACCGCTGACAGACTTCTAGGGTAAGTAATACATGAAAAATTAATACGAAGTCTTAATAAATATAGGATCGCAAATGCCTCCTTAACGAGATACAGGGCGTCAAAGATTCCTTAAAATTAAAGCGTAAAAATGACAAAAAGAAGCTTATAATCTAGTTTACTTAACTCACTTGTACACATTGACATTAGTGACAGGCGATGTTTAATTTTATTTTGATTAGCACAAGCCTACTATGCGAAACTAAAATAAATGAAAGTACAATTGGATTTACAAATTTTCTACAAAGGTGTTTCTCTTAAAAATGGTTGCTTTAATCAAAATTTTGCAAGAGACCAATTCGATAGACAATTGAACACTTTACACAAAAATAGTGCCCTTTTGACAAAATTAGCAGTGGCGTAGAAAATATTTTTAAAAAAGGGTCACGTTGACCCCGTCTCTACGACACTGTTGCTCATAAAATTTTGAGCAGTACATCAAACATTGGTCTTAAGGTGCTAACTACGCATAGCAAATTTGAAATACAAATGTTCAGGCATTTTGGAATTATTGCAGACAATGTTTAATTTTACAGAAACTTTGACGCCCTGTAACTCGTTAAGGAGGCATTTACGACCCTATGTTTATTAAAACTTTTCGTCTTAATTTTTTATGTATTATCTACCCTAGAAGTCTGTCAGCTGTTTTTTGAATCACCCTGTATATGTGCAAAGAGGTGCCTTAAGATACTCTGCACAGTCCTTCAGTATATAAGGTGGCAACCCATCGTATCCCGCGTATCGCTTTTGGTTTCAATTTTTTTATAGATAATTTAGTCAATTTCACTGATCTGATGAACATGTGACATACTGTACAATCACAAAATATCTTTGAGGTATTGATATCATGCAGGCAAATTCGAATAAACAGACAAGAAATATGTGGCAAATGAGTCAGCCAGCTCAGTACTCGTTATAATATCTTTTCCATTTCGGAATGTCGTAAAAATGGACATTATCTGGGTTTAACAATAAAATTATTGATAAGGCCAAAGTAAAGAATAAATTGTATAAATTTAAGTCTACAAGTAACATTGCTATAACTATTTTAAAGAAATAAGAATTGAACTAAATGGTTTAGTGAAATCTCAACTAATCTCAGTTATTGTGAATTGATCAATTAGGTGAGATTAAGTGAAATCTTGGGTAAATAAAAAATGGCTAACATATGGATTTAAGAGAATTAAAGATAATTGAACTTTTAGTTTTTGCAAAGGCTTTAAATATCAATCATACTTAATTTTAAATTAAATTCAAGGAATATCGACAAATATAGAAAGAATTTTCTTAAAGCTTTGGATCAACTTGATTACAAACTGTTAATAATAAATTGGAGTCATTTGGTATCCATTTTTTCATCAATCTTTGGAAGTTCTTCAAGGTACAGTTCTCGGGCCACTCTTTTTGTTATTTTTATTAATGATTTAACCGATTGCCCTGCTGTCAGTTACATTTCACTTTGCTCGACAATATATTGTTTCATTCCATGAATAACACAAAAATTTGGATGTATAACAAATATTATCGAACTTTTATGTTATTTACTTTATCTATTTTATTTATTTGTTATTGTTTTGTACTCATGCCATTTTATCTTGCATTACTTATATTTTTATGATTAATGTTAGATAACTTTTATTTTTTTATTTTATTTATTTTTTTTGATATTCTACTACACCCTATTTTGCAACTGGGACTTTGTCCCGTTGGATATTGTATTTCTAAACAAATTACTTTATCGCTATATAAAATTCTGGGAATTAAATACAATTTAAATATACATTATGCCTTATACTGTTACAACTGAAAATTATGCAGACAATAACCATTTAAAAACGTTTTAATCTGCTCCTAAAATTACAGCTTGTTATCGAATCGCATTTTTTTCTAGGCATTAATAAACATGAGGTTGAGAGTTAAAGCAGGAATAAAAATAAAAGTGAACCTCAATTACCTACGTCTTTGTTATAATAAGCAGTACCCATGGCAACTATGCAAGTATGTACACAAAGATGACCCCTAATAAACCTACCAGATCCAGTTCATCACATATCACACTCACAACATTGTGAATTAGTAAACAGATATATTACCTGAGAATAAATACTTGTAATTATTAAAAGGTACTATGGAGGATGACAACTCTTGGGTATTCGATTCGCTTGTTTGCTTTCTAAATGGTCCCATTTGGAATGCCCCACTGCAGAGCTTTATAGAAGAAAAATCTTTAAGTAAAAGCAACTCTAATCCGTATGTAAATGAACTATTCAATTATATTTTTCAGTCTTCGAGCCCAATATCGATGATAACGATGAATACAAAAATGTCTTCGATGAATTTAAGAATTTAGTAAGTAGCACTATTTTAATAATGAAAAAAACTGTAAATACTTGCTTTAAGGTTGATTTTATGCTGGGAAATTTTATGGAAGACATAGGAATTACCCCAGAACAATTTGAAAATGCTTGCAAAGAAGGAAAGAAATATCAAGTTTCATTTGATCATGTAAGTATTCAAATTTAAATTTTTTCCAGTCTTGACTATTCAGACTATTTCAGAATTTATTTGAACAAATATGGGCTGCAAATGACTATGAGATGTTCAAAAGGATGATGACCCAGAAAAACGTTGAGTTACAGTTGCAAGCACTAGAACTGATTGAACAAAAATATGGAATTACTCCGCAGTCTTTTATTCCAAAAACAAAGGAAGAAGTTGTCGCAGATGGTCCCTCAACTTCAGAAAATTTAAACTTGGAAAAGGATATCATGAATGAAGTTGCAAAGTAACTAAGTCTTAAAAAAAATTCTAAAGGAATTTTGAAACTTTTACTTGTGATTTTTAGGAAATTTTCAGCTGAAGAACCATCAACTTCGCTGGAAGTTCAAAATATTTTGGAAGAAAAGGAAATTTTAGAAAAAACTTTGCAAGAAACAAAAGGTATAATATGTAATTAAATAGTTATTAGTATCACTTCTTGAGAAAAAAGTAATAGCGACAAATTTATCTTGGATTAAAAATTTTATTTAATAAAGTGAAGAAAAAAAATGAAATTTGTGAAATAAAGTATTAAAATAGGGATTCCGTAGCCTGAAATCTCGAAATAATTTATACATACAGAATGTAATTTTGAGTGGAAGTCATATTTATATAGAGATTTCCTTTGACCTTTAGAAGCACATATCTAAGTCTGTTTTCTCAAATTCCGTCATAAAAAGTTTTAGTAATTTTCATACTCCGCTGCTGGACAAGCTAGTGTAACCTCAAATAATGGCGCGCTTTAGTCGCTGCGCATACACGATGCTCTTTGGCGCTAGTTACTTTTGTTGAGTGGGTTCACCACACAAACAGTAACATAGTAAAAAACTCAGGTAGTAATCAATAATAATAAATGAAATACACAAAAGTAATTAGTCTGTTTACTCAAATGATTTTTGTAACACTTCTCTGGTTTTATTCCCGTCCAATATTAGTGTATTGGCGTTAAAAGCTCGCACAATCTCTTAAATATGTAATAGTTAAACTATGTGGATCTCAAGATACGGAGTCGTTTGGAGTTTAATAATAATAACAATGAAAAACATTCAAATTCACAGTTAGATGTACTGTGTTCAAATGCGGAACAACCACTGACCCCTTTCGCTCCGTCACCGTTGACCCGCACTATCTCCCTTCACATGCACTATAAATTGCCAACAATCTTGCTATAAATACATGAGTATTACAGTGACGGCGTACACAAAAATTAAAGTGCATTTTAAAAAACTGATTATAACTCGACTATTTATTTTATTAAAAAAAAAAGAATTTCAGATTCGTATTCAGGGGAACACGCAAATTTTTTGTTTTCATCAATTTTTTTCTTAAAGTTACAGCATTATGAAACTTGAATATTAGAATATTATCAAATTAAATTATAAATATTAGCCCATTATTATCAAAGTATGATCACTTTAATTTTCACTAGCTGCCTCTTTTTGAACATAATAAATTTATACTGTAGAAAAAATAATTGAAAGCATAGTCGTTATTTCTTTTTTCATACGATAACACATACAGGCTGTTACAAATTCACTTCTCACTATCTCGGAAATGGTAAGAGGTACGACGTAGCTTAATTGTGTAATCAGGGGACCAACATTATGCCTCTAAAAAATCAAGGCTAACATGATTAGTTTTCGAAATATTTTGGAAATCCATTTTTGTTTCATTTCAGCCTTGTTTGAGGTGATATTGAAAAATGAAGAGCACTTTCTCATGGCCACTGTTTGTCCTCTACCGAATGGCATAATCAATTTTTATATGTAACGTTTCGTCTCTCCAGGACCATCATCAACTTCATTTCTTTAAATAGCAAGCTTTCATGACCCCCTATACTGTACTGCCTCAGCCCGAACCAGATTCAGAAGTTTTGTCTCCAAAAATTCATCTTCAGTGTACTCATTCCAAATTTAATGACAAATTAATCCTTAAAAATGCATATGAACAACCAAAACGCCAACTGAATATTGTTCTTTAAAAAATTTTAGTAAATGTTCAAAAACATTTTCGTTTTGGCAAAGGTTGAAAACACAGATCAGCGTAATATTATCGGAATTTATTATATCTGTAACCGCAACTAGGAAAGAGCATGTCAGATGTATTTGTCTGAATATCCTGAAAAAAAAATAGATCGGAATTTGTTTGAATTTTGAGCACTCAAGAAGCCTAGAAATAACTATGGACATGGGAGTAATGCTCTAATAATGTTATTTTAACGAGTGGTGGTAATAATTTAAATAACTAGAACTAATTTACAGTGTACGATGAAATTGATGATGGTCCTGGAAAGACGAGACGTTACATATAAAAATTGATTATGCCATTCGGTAAATGGCATAATCATAAGGGCAAAAAGTGGCCATGAGAAACTGTTTTTTTTTCAATATCACCTCAAACAAGGCTGAATTGAAACAAAAACGAATTTCCAAAATTTCGGTTTTTTTCAAATATTTCGAAAACTAATCATATTAGCCTTGATTTTTTAGAGGCATAATATTGGTCCCCTGATTACGCAATTTTGCCGCCATTTAAGCTAGTTTGTATCTCTTACTGTTTTCGAGATCCCTGTAGTGAGAAACGAATTTGTAACAGCCTGTATAGGTATTTTTTTTACAATAACTTCTACACATTTATAACTCGTTTTTCAGAAAAGGCCATTGGAATAATAGTACCAAAACCAATAAAAAGTGAAGGTACACAAGAAGAGAAAATTGCCACAGAAAAAAAACAATCGCCTAAACATGAAAGTCCAAAAATTGAGAAAAAAAGCACGGAAGTAAGCTGACATCACATATTGTAACACTACATATATGTTGCAATTTTTTAGGTTGATGCGTTGGAGCTCAAGAAGAGGCAGGAATATCTAAGAGCTCAAAGAGACAAACTAGTAGCTCTCAAGAAAGAAGCTAGAAAGAAGCAACTTAATGCAGAAAATGACGGCAAAAATAAATCAAGAGAACGTCCAAGATCGGCAAAAGCTGCTCAAGCTGTGCTAACTGGTCAAAAGCCAAACGCTGAACCACAACAACTTCAGATTCGTAAAACACTGGCGGAACGTTTGAAAACGGAGGTGGTTGATTACAAAGAACCAAAATAAGAATTTTTTTTACTTATATTTATTACCTAAATATAACGATTACAATTTTTATTTTACATTTTTTAAAAACATTTATTACATGAAAAATAAAGTTAGAAAATGGCCTTTGATCTGTTTTTGAAAACTTATGGCTTGTATAAAAAATATGATAAGGCTGCCATTTTTCAATAAATAATTGCGTGCCATTCCAAAGTTGCACAAATTTGATAATGTAAGTACCCATACTTTAACTAGAAAGGTAACTGAGCTGATTTGAGCAACTTTCGAATGAATTCTTTAATAAATACATTCGCTCATATTGTACGTACCATTTTAGATGCTGTTCTTATATTAAATATATTAATCATGTACTGATAATATTTAATGATTAATGATACTGTTTGATTAATATTGCTGTCAAAACTTGTTTTGAGCGAACATACACATTATAACAGTTAAAAGTATGTACACCGTATTATACTTCTTTCAATGCCTGTGCTTATATTGAACACAATTTTTAAAACTGTTTTAATTTCCGCCAAGTCGAAAACGGATTTCGAATTTTCAAATGTCGTCTGCATAAAGATGCTTAATTTGTATACTTAGTTAATATAGTTAATATCCTGAACCTCTATCGATAATAAATAACTACATTAATATATCAGCAAAATTAATGTAGTTTCATTTACCACATAAAAAATGTAACCCCTTGAATTTTTCAGAAGAAGCTTTTAAAAATACCTCAGAAATAATAAGCATCAGGATTGCAAATTGACTGGAATTTTAAGCTGTGTAATTTATGGGAATGTTTTACATTTACAAATTAAATTAAAAAGGTTATGGACCCAGAGGAAAAAAATTTCCTGTGATGACTGGCAGCGTAAGCAGTGAAACGTCAAGATAACTTAAGCCTACAAAACCAATAAAAAAAATAATTGTATACTTAATTGGTTATTTAAATTCAATAAATAAAATTTAAAATATAACAAGGTGGGTGCCTGTAAATCAGTTATCTATAAAAATCACTCTGGAATTAGTTTTATATTAAAAAAATGTTATTCTAAATTTGTTAATATGTATCTATAAAATGCCTGATAAGGTGTAGTGGATATTAAGTTATTTTTGCCTTAATTTCACATACTGATGAATATGCACATATCTAACAATTACTTTTATACGGAGTATCCCGATTCTGGCACAATTTATACCAAAAAATAAAATAAAATCACAGTAGACCACGTCAAGGGGTGTAGATTAAAGTGTTATTAGATTTTGGTTAAAGAAATAATAGGATATTTAACAAACTTGGCTCCTTGAAAAATTGCAGGCCTAGGATTTGTAGTTTTAAAGAAATTATAGCATGTTCCTAGGTCTTTAATAAAAAATATTTGAACTTCATCTGCTTTTTACTTACTATGTTAGTTGCGTTCGATTTGACACTCAACTGAGAAGTGGGATAAATCACTCATCTTAGGTAAATGATATTGAAGGATTAAGGGGTAAAGCCACTGTAGAATTTTGAAAAAAATCGATCTTTGGATAAATGGTTTAAACAATGCTTTATGTGAAGAATATAGGAGAAAATTGTAAGGTGGGGGAAAAATCGGGAACCACTCGCAGCACACTGCGGGAGTGTTTATTGTAACTCGTGAGAAAGCGCAGTAGTTAGCTTTTATCGAGGCCAGATTGAGTGTCAGATATAGAAGCCCAATTATACAGGGTGTTTTCGGAATATGGTATATTAAGGAAATATATCACAAATCACTTATACTATAACCTCCTGCAAGGAATGCATCGACTTACCAAACACCCTGTATAACAAATTCCTTATGCTGAATGGCAACAATAACTTTAAAATCATTTTTTGAGGAACCACTTTTTTTAACTGGCTGGAAACATAACAAAGAGATTTCAATGAATCGACTAGAAATTTTGTACAGAGCTTCACAATAACATAATTCAGGGAACGTCGTACGGGTTTTTCGATTGATTAACAATTTTCATTGTTAACAATGTAACGCAAAATTTTTCAATACTTTTTTGTATGTCTACTAAATCAATATTAAATTAATATTTTTTAATTTTCCCTTATAATATAAGAATTTTTTTTGTTCCAAGACCATCTCTTAATAAGAAACCTTTCCGGCCATACAGCCCTCTGAAAAACAGGTGTTGTTGCTTGCCGTTACCTACAGCCACCATTTTGAATACAAATTGTTTGAAAAAATTCACACTACTACCTGAAAATATGTGCAATACAGCCTTTTTGTTCCCGACACCTTTTTTCCTCTAGAGTGGCATTACCCCTTAAAAAGAATGGCACAACTGTTCCAAGTTTGCTATTATCACTTTTCGTTTTTTATTTTTATTTACACTGTTCTACACTATGACAATTAGCAGGTTAATCAAATGTTAATCGTAATAATCTCAACATTTAAAACGGTGAAATAATTGTCAGTAAATTATGGGATCTCTTGGCATTGGCAAAGACTGAAGTTCCTCAGTTGTCAAATCAAACACCGCAACAACTCAAGTGAGGAAATGTGGATTATATAAAATATCGAAAGCAACTATTTTTACCTAAATTCTACATCCCCTTGCTGTCCTAACTGATTATACAGAGTATTTTTTAAGTTGGAGTATGCCTTAGCACAGTGTAGAACTCAACAAAGTGAACATAATTTTCCAGTAACATTTTTAGAAATCTTGATAATGGAAAAGTCATCTCAAATAGTTCAAATACATCCGTGTGAAAAATCCTAAAAACTTAAATTGTTTTATTGAAAGCTAAAATTTGAAGGAAAAATGGAACAATTAATTATTCACAGCAAAGCAATCACGTTCACATTTTATGTCTTATACTGGGGAATCACACAGAGCGTTTCATAAAAGCAGTAGTGATTTTGGTTTTCATCAAGATACTACAATTTTTTTAATACAAAAGGAGCATAAGAACAAAAATTATAGAATTATTAACGAAAAAAATAACATTGTTTTAACTTTAAAGCAAATAAAATTATAGGGAGACAAAATCTGAAAAACATATTTGTTCATAAAATGATTAGAATTAAATAGAACCCTAGTTAAGAAACAAGGAAATTCAATATCTCAAGTCAGATATATTTTACTTTAAGAAATTCAGTAAATAACAATACTGACCCTCCATTCATTAAAAGCATTAATTTTATAAGTTATACTATCAAATAAGTAAAAATAAGCATTGATGTTTGCCCACAAATGTTAACGTTGGCATGCCGTTCAGTATCCGGGGGCGTTGCGATCAATGCTCGTAGATCTAAGAAATTAGGCATCATCATTATAATTACGTTTAAGTATCAAATTAACACTTTTTGGGCAGTACTTTCTTAGATCGACTGCGTAAAGTCAGATTGAGAAAGAAAGATTGAGCAAGTACCACAACCGATTGTCCTCATTTACCCCAAAATGGCAGTTTAACATATTTGATTTTTGCAATTTATATCACAAACTATCAAAATTCGAATGTTGTAAGATTTTAGATCAGGATACTAGGTTATTACAGAATAAACCTTCCCTTCTAAACCCTTCTAAATATACGGGCTGTCTCATAAAAGAACGCCGCAAGCCATAACTCCATCATTTATAGTCTGATTTTAAAAAACAAAAAATTGTATGAAAGGGCTCTAACTAAATACACTATAGAGTGAGACTATTGGAGCGTATTTATTATTATTTTTATTTTTGAAAAGCGATACAACTTTATTTTTTCAAATGGCAATATAGTTTTTTTTTATTTATTATTGTGCAGATTTCTATTCCGAATTCAACGATGTATATAAAGTTTACTTTTGTGAAACATGTATTACAGAAAAAGCATGAAAATATTAAACAATACCGTCCGGTCGCTTAATTGACAACAAACATATTTTGACTAATCATGTATGCCTGGAAAACAAAAAATAATACAACACAAAGCAAGTAAATGTCATTTTAACGTTCGTGTCCCAGTTATATAATCATTATACTCTTTCTGTGTCATTTACAGTCGGTTATTTATTGAAATAAGCTCAACAGTGCAAAATATGAGTAATAACCAATTGACGGATATGATTCAAGTATACTTTTGTTGTAATAAAAATCGTGGTGCAGGAGTCCACCTTTACAGAGAACTATTTCCTCACAGAGAAGTTCCAGAACCACGTAGATTTGTAAGAGTTGAAGAAAATTTGAGAAACTATGGTGCTTTTAAGTTTTAAGAAACCAAAGCGAGAAAAATGTCAATTTAATGAAAACATCAAGTTCGATGCTCTTTTTAATGTTGAAGAAAACCCAAGAACTTCCATTCGAGAAATTTCTAATAATATTAGAGCGTCAAAGAGAACTGTACATGCAGTATTGAAAATGCACGAATTCAAGCCATACATTCCTCAAAAAGTACAGGCATTAAGGAAAACAACGCCTACAATTTGTTTCTTTAGTTGTTTTGTGTTTGTTGTTCTTCGTTTAATGTGTTTTGTGTTTAATTAATGATATTTCGTGTTAACTTTGTATAATGGTTAACATATTTAATTAAATTGTTTTTCTTTTAACTGATATTCCTTGTATTGTTCCTTTTCTGATAACTACAAAATTCTCTTTTGAGTTTTATTTGCTTTGCTGTATTATTTTTTGTTTTCCATGGCACAGATGATTAGTTAAAATACATTTGTCATGAATTAGTGGCAGGTGCCAAATGCAGTATCGACTAATATTTTGTCGTCTTTTCTATAACAAATGCTTTACAAAAGTTCATATACATCGTTGGATTCAGAAAATAAATCTACACAATAATGAATAACAAAAAAACTATATTGCCAGTTGAAGAAAAAAAGTTGACTCGCTTTTCAAAAAAAAAAAGGCTCGCTCTATAGTGTATTTAGAGCCATTTCACTTAATTTTTTTGTTTTTTAAGCCTGTATTTAAATAAATTGCATTAATATGTATTGAAAATCGAAACTTATATTTCTAGGTTGGAATTAAGTATTTGGCCCCAAACTGGCCGTTGGTTATGGTACTTTATCTAATAACACCAATCTAAATTCCTAGATTGACCAAGTACCACAAGCGATTGTTCCCATTTTGCCCCTAAATGACCTTTTGACAAATGTCATTTTGTTTTGACATTTCAAAACTTTTGTTGCACTATATTCCACATTTTTCAAAATTTATGTGCATTTATATCAAAACTACGAAAGATTGTTAATTTCAAGTATTTTCAGTTAAAACGTACATATTAAAAATATATTTTTTACATTCTATAAAAATATATTGGAAATTCAATTATATATTTCAGAGTTGGCAACATATATTTGCCTCAAAATGGCAGTTGATTGAAAGACCTCTTTTTCTCGAGTTGAAATTTATAGTTCCATATGATATTTGTCGAGATAGAATTCCAAGAAGACCCCTGCATCACTTTCTTGGAATTAACCGCATTCAACATCCAAGATAGAACGACATTGGCGTAAATTTCAAGGCACACCTCTGCCGATAAATTTACAGTAGTTTCGATAACTATTTCAACAAATATTGTACGGACTGTATATACTTTTTTTACCCAAACTAGGAATTAATTATTTGTTTTATTTGTGCCTATGCATTATGTAACTTATTATCATTTGATCAAAAACAGTTTCAGTATTACTTATTTATTAACACCATTTTATTTTTATTAATATGTGTAATTTTACCTACATATACAGTATGTCTGGTTTTTCATGTTAACACCCCCTTAGACACAAGTAGGCCAATTTTTTATGGGTAAGGCTCTGAAAGGTCAACGTTTGACACCTATTGGTTTCAACAGTTGCCAAATGATAATCTTGGTGGTCCCAGATTACTTGTATTTAAGGATTTTAAGGTGTTGACACAAAAAACTAGACATACTGTATATCCTGATGACGGTTTTATAAAAGTCGAAACGTCAATGTAGAATAAAGATAAATAACTAAATAATTTAATTGTTGTGTTTAAATGGCTCAAATTTGCAATAGAATGAATTTATTGATGGAATTTCAACTCGTTTTACAAGTGAAGTTTGATACTATCTAATTAACCAACAAGCGAATGTAAATAAATATTATTACTATTATTAAAAAGTGAACACGGTGGCAAGTGCATAAAAAATGCCATGGAAATAACTTGGGGCAAACATCATGCACAACGCGAGTGATAGCTTATGTGAACGAATCCAATGTCGACAGTTTTGAACATTTTTATGCAGATCTGGGCTTATAGTTCAACCAAATTACACTTGAAGAAAAATAAATTGTTACCTAGACTTTTATAAGTGGAAATGGTAAAAGTGGTTATAATAAACCTAAAAAAATTAATGGGTGAGCAGGAGCGGCGGAGGGTTGAAAAGTTATGAAAAATTGTATCATTGGGATTTCTGGCGAAAGTTGACATCAAACAATAAAGTATCCAATACATGCAAAAATCTACAACTCTTGTAGATGTCACTTTTTAACATAACCTCAAAATTTCCAAGAAAAATGCGAACAAAGTTTTTTTCTGATTTTTCATTTTTTATTTCTCATTTCCGCAAAAATAATTTTATTTTAACAAAACTTGCTGAAAGTATACCTTTCTGTCTTAAATATCTACAAACTTTTTTAGATAAAAAAAATCAAGAAGTTTAGGAGATATTCATTTTTTTCGGCCTGAAACACTTTTTTTTCAAAGAAAAATTCTACTTAGAAAAATCATCGTACAGAGTTCTGCTGGTAATCATTTTTTTCGTTTTGACATATACTTTTTGGTGAAATAAAAAAATCTGCGATCACAGCAAAAACATGCTCAAAAATATAAAAAAAAATAAGAAGTGATGCAACAATGAAGTTTTCAGTAATTGTTCATAATTTGTTTAAATTAAAAAACATTCAAAAATTGATTACACCATTCAATTCTACGGAAAAAATATAAAAAAACCGTCTCATTGTTTGACCCATTTTCGCATATTTCTCGGAAATTTTGAGGTTATGTTAAAAAGTGACCTCTACAAAAGTTGTAGATTTTTGTATGATCTACAACTTTTGTATTGGATACTTTTTTGTTTGACATCAATTTTCGCCGGAAATCCCAATGATACAATTTTTCATAACATTTCAACCCCCGAAATCAACACTCTGCCGCCCCTGCTCACGCATTTATTTTTTTTCGTTTATTATAAGCCCCTTTACCATTTCCACTTATAAAAGTCCAGGTAACAATTTTCTTTTTTTTCCCCTCCAAATAAGTTATTTCAATCGGTCTACTACCTATATTACGACATTGTTTTTTTTCTGATTTTGAAAAAAAAATTGAAAAATCTGCTCACATTATTGAGTTCTACATTCTTCCTGTTATAGAAAAATCCCAACCTAAAAATTACTATGTTTTATATACCGGGTATATAAAAAATATAAAATTAAAATTCGTTTTGTAAAATAAATAATACTATTATTCCTCAATTAAAATCCCTGTGCATATCACAAAAAATGTTTTTTAAGCACAATCTACCACCAAAAGTTTTGTTTTTTACATTTCACAAAAATGAATTTAAAAAAAAATAAGCCATCGTCATGTTTGCTGAAATGAATACTGATTAAATAAAAACAAGTCTAAAAATTCATGTAGTGTTAAGAAATATGAAATTTAATTTTTGTAGTTTTGCGCAACTTTTAAACCGAAAAGAGACCCGTTAAATAACTGTAACGATATATCGTTTTATTTAAAATTTGTGTTTAACATGCACAAGACGAAAAGTACCAGACAAAAAATTTTAATAGAAATAAGATAAATTTATTCATCACAATAATTACAAAATTATAGTTAAGAATAAAGTATTTATATTAGTCTAAATGGACACTTCATACTGCTAAGCGCCTAATAGAAGTACGCAACTAACAATAATTGTTTAAATTAACAAATTTATACAACGCTTACAGCCTTTTAATTTTTTTTTTTTTAATTGCTAAATAAATATACAATGGCCGAGGTCCAATTAATAATTTAAGTATAAGGTGTGGAAATAATATAATTTGGTCGAAAGGTTTAATAGCAGTACAGTAGGTGCCAATTAACAGTACGAAGTATTATACAAATCTAAGCACTCCAATGATACTACACACATTTTTAGACGATATATTCGATACTAGACGCTATCTACTGCTAGATATTATAACTTAGCCTACGTAAATTCACAATGTTCTCTATAGAAATTCATAGTTATGAACATTTTTGTAACATTTACCCTTGACATTTGAATTACAAACATCAAAACTGCATAAAAGCGCGTTTACCGCAATATTTTTGCCTAAGAAAACAAAACAATTTTTAAAATCGACCTCCAAAGATCGTATATTTAATAGTTTAAAAAATAATAGGAAATATCCAAATATATTTAACGGTATTATTTTGAACAAAAAATGTCAACGCTAATAAAACAAAATTCTGCTAAAATCACTATTTATAAATTCAGCCAAGTTTTGTAATTAGAAGTTTTTATCTCTTTTCTATAAATATAGTGTGACCTACTAACAAAATGACACTCTGTATTTTTTTTAGGACGCTCCAATTTTTTTTTTATATATGTAGTTGCGTAGTTGTATTTGTTGATTCAATGGTGGTGCGTTTTTTAAGTGATTTTTCCGAAAATCCTTCACACAAATAGGCAACCAGCAATACATTTTTATAGATTTTATTACACATTTTGTCTAAATATGAATGAATGCACAAATAACAGACTTTTCTCTATTCTGACGCAGATATTCTATAAAATGGAGTTCGTTTGAAACTCAAATTACTTTTTGGTGTAAAGAAATTTGTAATGGACCATGTCGCTTGTTCAAAAGCGGCAAATTACAAATTCCTTTACAACAAAAAGTAATATGAGTTTCAAACTAACTCCATTTTATAAAAAATCTGCGTCAGAATGGAGGAAAGTCTGTTATTTGTGCATTAATTCATATTTAGACAAAATGTGTAATAAAATCTATAAAAAAGTATTGCTGGTTGCCTATTTGCTATACAGCCCCAGTGTCTCAAATTTCATCAACATACGAAGATGTACAAAGTTGCACAATTTATGACATTCCTTGGTAAAATAGTCAGTTTATGAGCATAAAATTGAATAATTAATCTATAATAAAAATTTGCACTGCCTAAAATTATGAAATTGTGAAGAATTTTTCATCTCCCTGTATTACCAAAGCCTCCTAAATTTTTAAATTGAAATTTAAAACTTTAAGGCTGTGTATCTAAAAAAAAATTATAGCACATCATAAATTGACAGAATTTCAGATACTAGAGTACGTAGTTGGATTTTTAAAAACAAATCCTAAAGTAACTTTTCCAAAAATCACAGCAGGCCATGGATCTTCATAATTGGTTCAATAGGTACATCTAAAAGGCCACTATACATAAATTTTACAGGAGTGTCCTCGTCCTTAATGGGTCACTCTGTATATACAGGGTATAACAAAAGCACCGGAACGGCAGAATAACTCGGCGGGAGAGCATTTTAGAGAAAGATGTTAAATACAAAAGTTTCAGGATTTCTCCCTGGCTATCCGATGGTGACCTTGAAGATCATTCCAAGGTCAAATGTGATTTTTCAAATTGGACCCTATACTTTTGACCACAGAAATGAGCGGAAAATTTTACGTTCAGATATAACCTTGAGTGACCCCCTCCCTTTTGACCTTGGGGCCCCCACAAGGTCAAACTATGAAAAGTACAGGAATGGCAAAATGACTTGGCAGGAGAGCATTTTAGAGAAAAATGTTAAATACAAAAATTTCAGGATTTCTCCCTGGTTATCCGATGGTGACCTTGACATTGACTTGCATTCAAGGTCACCATCCAGGGAGAAATCCTGAAACTTTTATATATAACATTTTTCTCTAAAATGCTCTCCCGCCGAGTTATTCTGCCGTTCTGGTACTTTTGCTATACCCTGTACAGTCTTCTCTGATTCTAAATTTATTTTGATGCATTACAACTATTAAAGAAAGATTTTGAGTCTATAAACTTAAAACTAAGCTAAACAAAATTCTTGCGTTTTAAATCGACTGTTTGCAGAAATGAACAATGAGTGCACTTTTTTTTAGCTTTTTTAAAAATTGATGTTGAATTAAAAAAGTATGATAACCGTATATACGCTTGGAGATTTTTAACATTCAAAATCATTCTCAAATAATTTAAAAATTGGATTTTGGGATTTTTTTAACCCGAAGGCAATATATATTTCAAGAAAAAACAAACGAGTGTTTCAAAGTTTCCAACTGCAAAAACGGCTTATGCTAAAAATATGAAGTTGTTAAAAAGTGTTGTAGGATTTTTGGCTCAAAATAAGATTTGCAATTTCCTTCATCTCATGTAAAAATTGTGTCTGTAAAAGCTGGAAGTGCGAATTTGATGTTTATAATTTAAATCAAGCGGTAGCGGTTTAGTTCTCGTGAACGATAATTCCATTCTGTCTCTCGAATGAGGCTGAAGACTTTATAAATATGTGACATTATTTACAAGTTATTTTCCTATCAGATACTTCCGTATAAAATTAGGCTAGTTCGAGAGACAGAACACCTGTTCCTTTCAAACTGATGTTAGCGAAGAAAAATTAAATCATACATGGAATCGAATCTCATTTGTGTTACTTATCGACAGTCAAGACCTGTAAATTGTACAATATAACCAAATATCTCTATACAATCGGAAGTTAAAAAAGTTGTGCTTCTGCAACACAGTCATATTGGACTGGAATATGACGTCGGCGCGCGCTTCTCCCACATACACACTTATGATTTATAAATTAATACCATCAAAGAAGTGTACCCTGTCGTTAAAACAAGTACGCTTCTCTGCCATTCCCGGTGCGGTAATGTCATTGTTTCACAACGCAAGTACGTGTTACTGCAGTCACAGCTGGCTTAATAATTGACCGTTCACGCCACACACACTTTCACTATGAGATCACACTTGGTCGCACGTCACCCGAGTCTGTAACGTACTCACCTGCAGATTGTCGACTCGACTATGACAGTCTCGGCCTTTTGGTGACTTCTCCGCTCTCCTCCTCCTCCTCGTCAGAATCTCCACCCTCGTAATCGACCAAACCCTGAAGGATTAAAAAAATACGATAAAACCTTGGATTAATACAGGGCGTTTCGGAAATGAAGGTACGAACAGTAGACCCTAAAATACGATGTTTTAAGGGGTAACGTCACTGCAAAATTCTAAAATTAAATTTTTTATTTGCAATCTTTATTCGAGGGTGTCATTAACAATGTCTTTAAAGGTAAGTTCATGCAGTAGCGATTTTCGAGTTTCGATTTACGGATTTCAATTTGATTGGTTGAAATAAAATATTTTTGACATCAATTTCTTCATTTCAATATATTGCGAGAATCGCAAAATTTAAATATAGGGGGCGGGAAAATAGGAACAGTTTCTATTTTTGGCGATTATCGCAATAATTTTGACTAACTGTGCTTATGCAGTCCGTATAGTTCCATCATTCGCAAGTAATTAAAATACTTTAATGTCATGTAATCTCATTTCAATTAACAAATTATGATAAGTGCCTAGGGGCCTGTTTTTTGCAAGTACTTTTCAACTTTTCACTCCTTATTTTGCACTTTTCTGGCTATTTTCTGTTTTCAAAATTAATATACAAAAAACAGCTGCTAATCTGCACAGTGAAAATGAATAGCTCAAGCTTCTTAAAACGTATAACATTTATGTAAAGAACATTTTTTTTTAAAAAAGAGAACGGCAAGGCAAGTAACAAGAGATTTAAAAGTAACTAGTTTTCGCGTATATTGTAACGTTCACCACATTTTGTAATGTTCTTTTTTAATTTATTTTTAATTGTATCGCGAAACGAGATTGTTTCGAGTTACCCTGTATACGAAAAGTTTAGTTTAAGGATTCAGTATTTTAATTTGAATTGAAGACATTAACAGTAGGCAACCAAATGTTCATTAATATTTTGTAGACAATTTTTGTATTTACTTATCATTTTAATTTATCAGCTCCGATAAGAATTTATAAGAAAAAGGTAAAAGAACTGAACGGGAAAAAAAGAAGCTACACGAATAATAAATATTTACAACTATCATAATATTATAATTAAGTTTTCAAAATATTTTCACTGAGTATTATTGAAAAATTCAAACCATATCTCTGTTCACTAAGCGACCTCATCGGCCACTCCGATTTGAATAGCTGTCAATTTCGATTTTATAATTTTGTAGCGATTAGACCGTTTTAAGTTGCGGAACTTTTACAATAATTCTAAATACGGTTAAGGTTTATGTAGGTACACTTTTGAATGCAGTTATTGTCGTAATTTTGCTAAATGAGTTCCCGCTAGTTTTTTTGGTTTCTACTTAGGAGGGAAACGATGTTCGAGAGCGATTTCTTGGGTGTGTGCTCAGCAACTCGTGGTCGAGGAAACTTATATATCATTTTTCTACATTTTATTAATGCGTGTGTGTTCCATAGACTGGGATATTAGTAGAAAAGTGAATGTGACTGTGTCTCTGTTTTGTGGTGATAGTTTTCTGCCGTTTATCTTGAAGACACAATCTCAGCTTTAGCTGGATCCAAGCAATCTTCCTCCACGAGTTATATAACACCCTTATTACTGATTCTCACATAAAATCCAAGCTGCTTTTCCTCTTGGATCACTCTGGAAGCCGTCCTCCATCCGAGTAAGTACCAGGTTCCTCTGTTCTGTTGTTCTTTTAATTTAAATTTCGTATTTTCTCCCTATTACAGGGCTTCTAATTGAAGGCCCCAAAGGATTTAGAGAACTTTAATTTTTGCTGTGGCCGTGTTAAAGAGATTTCTGCTGGTTGTGGCTGGTTTTCGTGGTGGCATAATCAACAAGACTCCCGTTAGTCTTCATAGCCTGTTGCTGGTTCTTGTGGTGATGTAACCAACTGCATCGCAGAGAAATAGCTGTATAGTGGCTGCCTTGAAGTTATCTACATCCTGCTGTTATCAGATAAGCTACATATTGCCTATTATTCTTAACTATTAATAATAATATCTCTTGCTAACCCAAGCTACAATATACAGGGCTAACTTTAAACATTAAGTCACTGTGCGTCATTTTACGCACTGTTTCATAGTACACTATACCTAACAATAGTTAGTGAAATTTAGTATTAAGGTTTTTGTTTGTCGCTTACAGCTATATATATGTGTATATATATCTTTTTCTCTTATTATTAAAATTTCGGAAAAATTCCGAGTAACTTAATTATATTACAATAATTATTAATTATAAGATTTTACTAGTAAAAATTGTCCACCCAACGTGATCACGTGCGGTTTACATTACGTATTTTATATTCATGTCATTTATTTTGTTCTTGATATGATGTAAATATATATCCTTTTTTTTATACTTGTCTAGTATATTAAACTCACGTCACGGTTCCATTATTCTACTTTACCATTTTACATAATTTGGTACCTATATATATATTTTTTTACTATTCCTTAGAATTAGTAACCGAATTCTAAGCCACGTTTAACCCTAGGGTAAACGGTTACTGGCGCCCTCAACTTAATTAACTGGTCCAAACGTTACCACACGACCAGCTCCGGCTGTAGTTAGCCTAGGGGTTAATAGTGCTCCTTTACCACCAAGGACCAATCACCATCAGGGAAGGGCACAGGTAGGTTCCCGGCCCTCACCAGGAAAAAGGAAGGTAGCAATATGCATGAACAAATGTTAAATTTTTGTCGCATAAATCGTAAAACCGTTAATTGCAACTCGCAAATTGCTACTACATGAACTTACCTTGTGTTCAAAAAAAAAAAATATATTCATAAATAGTATAAATTGGCGATGCTGAAGCCATTCTCATGATGCATGTTGAATTTAAGGCGCTCTACGGCAAGTAGTGTAACTGGCATAAATTTGTATATGGAAAAAATAAAAAAAATTTCTCATAATCTACACGAGTTTAATTAGAGAAAACGTAGAGGATGTTGAAAACATTAATTTTTACATGACTGGCAAACATTTGAACTAAAAAGTTCAATTTTTGACAATTTGTGAATAATGTTAAAATCAACTTATCGAAAATTGCGTACATACTTCTCTTGGGAATATTACTTTAAAGAAATGGTCAAAATTTGTAGTGAATATAATGAAAATTGTTGGAAATATGTTGTGTGGCATTTTAAAAAGTCGTGCTTCAGTAAAATGCCTTTAAAATTCTGGGATATACGGTGTAATAACGTACTTTCATTTGAAAATGCTTCTAATTGGACTCAAACTCTTTCTAGCGACATCCGTTAGTATTAACGACACATATTAGAGAAGTTAGAAATCAAAACGTAAGTCATTAGGCAGATATCTACATGCCACAGGTATTAGTTTCGAAGCGTATGGGAAAGAGCTTGGAATAAAAAAAAAAAATTTGTACCGGCATAAAACTTATTTCACCTTATTCTAGAAGGTTTAAAGCATCCTTTAAACCATTTAAAAAAAAATAGATTTTCTGAAACTTATACGGTGGTCTTACCCCTTATGTAGTTGCTACGTTTGACCGCCAGATGGCGTTAAAATTGGGGGGAAAAAATAAGTTTTTTCCAAATAACTCTAAACTTTTCTGTGCCACTTACTGTGAGCAAACTAGATAATTTATGATACAAATTTCAAAAATATACAAAGTGAATTTTTCTGTTGGGCCATATAAGAAAGGTAATTTTCCCAATATGGTCCTATAATATTGACTTCAAATATATGTTGGCCTTCAAAGATGTAATGGAGATGGATATATGAAACTTTCCGGGAAAAAAATTAAAGCTTTGGGAAAACTTTGTTTTTTAAAATGTCTTCCTTTCCTTTCCAAAAAAATTTCCTGAAGAAATTTTAATAATAATTAAAAAAGAAGATATTAAGGAATACTTATTAATTAGAGATAGTAATTAATACAGTAATATTTTTTTATTTTCTTACATATTCTGCTTTTTTCTGATTGACACTGAAATATGCCTCGTATTTTCTAAAGTTTCGAATTTAAAAATTGATTTCAGATTTCAGTTTACTTATTTTTAGATTCTATATATATATTCTAAATTTGTACATTTTTTGTATTTTTTTTTTAGAAAAACAGTACCATCAATTGAAAATGGTTGAAATGTTGCAATCCCAAGGATTTTCAAAAAATGGGACTTTCCCATCTCTGTTCAGGAAATAATCAAACTTTTTGAGTTGCATGGAGATATTTAGTGATATGCGATCAGTTATTAGATATTTAGTGATATGCGATCAGTTACCTCCTCTGTAACCACATCTTCTTGGATTGTTGATATCTCACTTAGTCTTCAAGATATTGTTATTTGAGTGTAACGTGTTTAAGTGTTAGTGATGATTTTTGAAATGTGCAATTTTCTAGAACAATACAATGTAAAATTCAGATTACTGTCCTACTTCACCCTACTTACTCGCCAGATCTGACACCTTGCGATTTTTTCTTATTTCCGAAATTAAAATTATTGTTGAAAGGACACCATTTACGCTGTTTTCAAACTATTGATGACATCAAAGCAAATTCATCACAAACTTTAAATGTTATTTCAAATGAAGCTATCCAGGATTATTTTGCGAAATACAAACATAATGTGAATAGGGAAGACGAGGACCAATAATGTACAAAATTAATAATAATAAAGTTAGGTTATTTTCTGAACAAACCTCGTATAGTGACAGACAAAACTAGACAAAATAAGTTTTAATGAAAATTCAAGCATCACCTTGTATATGCACAAATTTAGATGCTGAACTATTTTAAATGGTCATTCGCGTCTAGGTTGCCGCGCTCTGCCATTTCATTATGTGCAGCTTCATCACGAAACACCCTGTATATTTTAAAAGTTCATGCTACAGAAATAACTAAAAATTAATCAATCAAAACATACGAACCCTTTTGAATAACTGAGATTTATTCTCACTACTGGACACCACGTTAGTTGTTGGCTGCCCGCTGGCAGCGTTAGCATTGTTATTAAGCACCGTTGTCTTCTGTGAGGAATTGTTGTTTATTTTAGGGCCATTCGCTTCTGGCTGTTTCTTCTCGATGATCTTCCCTATACTCTCGAGATCAGTGTCAAGTTTTTTAGTAAGTATGTCATTCGTAGCCGGCAACACTGTGTCATTGTCATCGAAATCGTCGTCCTCGTTGAACCACATTTCCTCCTCCTCCTCCATCTGACGCTGATCCCTCCTGTATCTGCTGTTCCGCAATATCGACGGAACACTAAAATACATTTCACATGAATATCTTACCAACGTGTGATGTTTTAAGTACCAAAGTTTCTTGACTTTGTAAATTATCCCACAAATTCTTTGCACTGGTTTTCTTATTTAGTCGCAGAGGTAAAATACACCAGTAAGTTTTTTTTATTACAATCTTTCTCGTATAGAAATACAAAGACAGTAAAGAAATGTTTTTGCCAGGATACTGACAGCCTGTTGTTTTCTTAGACACATTTTTCAAATGCATACTTTAACATTTATTTCTACGGAAAATACATAAATAATTTATCGAATTACTTATTTTTACAGATATGTAAATATACAAACAAAATTCATACAAGTATTGGAAAATTAGGATGAAGAGGAGAGATAATATTATTAAGTACTGTTATTAAAAATTATTTTTAAGTTTCGAGCACAAAGGGAATACTGCCTTTTCAAATGCTTTATGTTAAGGTTATTTTAAGTGTTTCAGGTATACAGTTGACATTCTTTCGTGGGTTTTCACTTTAACAGTTCTTAAAGAAGGTATTCAAAATACATCAGCGTCAGTTTTCTCCATAGAAAAATGTTTATTTACATCAGAAATGTTCAAACAATTCAGTTATATATGAATATGTAACCATAAGTAAAAATATTTTGCTTGAAATCTAAAATTTGAATGTGAAATACTCATACACTACAATTTTTCTTAATATGTCTCATAATTAGCCCGCCAAAATTCATAACTAGATTATATGTTCAAAAATTTAAAAAAGTTCTAACACTTTTCAATTTCGTGAAATAACTTGGTACTTGGTCATTTTTACCATACTTCAGTTCTAAAATAGTAGGCAGTCAGTCGTTCTCAACATGTAGATTCGTGTGACAAGTTCTGTCCTCGTAGGCAAAGATAGCCAGCAGTTTTGCTAACTAGGCAAGTGGTCCCTGTGGAAACTACATTTATGTAGATGATGTAACAGTAAGGCCACACAAAATCAGTAAAGCCACTAAAGTACAAACATCACTGAAAAATGAGATGCATAAAACAGTAGAAATGATTGTTAATAAGCATGAATAAAATCACTAATCACTGTTGTTGTCTAAAAGTATGATCATGATATTAAAATTAGTTTTATTATAACTTCATCTTTTATGTTCTTATTCTTGTACTTGCACAATGCACTTATTCCATGCTTCTGAAGTTACCCAATTAATCGCCTCACGCAGAAGTACTTTGACATCCAAATTTAAAAGTTGTGTTATTTTAGGCGACATAAATTTTTATATTCTCCCAGACTAGTTCAATGGGGTTTCACTCACACTGGTATGGTAGCAATTGAAGAAATGTAACACCGTGACCTATAGCCATTTCATCTACTACATATTCCATGTATAGTCTTTCTGGAGTCAGTTGAACATGTATAAAGATGCCTAGCAATAAAATTTAATGAGCTTCATAGGCGTCCCTAAAAGTTTTCTGTTAAAGGTAAAAAATTATTATTGTATATGTGAAAAAATTTCAATTTTATGTTCATTTGGCCAACAATATATTTTATTTATGTCCTCAAACAATTTTATTATATTGATGGTAAATTTCATTTTGTTCCATTTCAAAAGGTCTCCAAAATGCCATGTTGTATTAATATTATTCCACATTGCTGCACTGCACTGCTAGGCAATTTGTCAACCACTTAACAACTGAGATTTATTACCCAGTCGCCCAGTGCAGCTGTGTTATACACCGTTTGCCCGCGCGCGCATTCTTCAACTGGGCATATACATTTCTACTTCCATGTTTAGTTCGACCAGACCTGTTGTATATGTGTATGGGTAAATAAATATGGGAAGAGGTTTTTCAAATATTTCAATGCTGAGTTGCTGCGTCAGCGACCGAACCTGGTACATCCTGCCAACCTCTTGGTTCTTCAATTCAGATCGGAAATACTATAACTGACTTTTCTGTTTTGTGCAATTGTTAATAATTATCCTTTTCAACATCTTTTCTTTATATTCAATATGTTTTCCATTCATCCATTTCATAATTTCTCCTTTTTTCCACATGCAAATATTGCTAATTTTTCTATTTATCATTCATGGTAAGGAGCAATATCTATGATAATCACTGCACCGGATTAGATCTGAGGCAAAATAGATGCAAACCATTTCACTGATAGTAATTTCCTGTTCATTCCGACTTCAACACATGTAAACCATTATCCAACAATCAGCATTCAGTTTCGATATGTTAATAATTAATCACCGTCCTTTCCCAGAGTATAGATACCTTTAATCCGAGAGAAAATCTTTGTAAAAATGTCTGTGGACATTTACATCTTTCCAAACCTTACAGACCATATGCCCTTAATTTATCCAATTATTTTTTTCTGTGTCCCATTCTACAATTGTCTTCTTTTCCAGTAGCATACTTTTTCGATTTCATTTTAAGTAACAAAAATTCATTTCATGCATAGGGGGCACTAAAATTTTTCGGTACAACCTAGCAAAATATCCTCTGTGATTTCAATTTGAATTTTCTTTAATGTTGGAAGTTTATATTTAAAATAAACGTAAAAATTTAACATAAATTTCACTTTTTTCCTACTTGTTTTGCTTTTTTACATTTACACTTTTTAACGCAAGATAAACACTTCTGACAGATACTTTCGTTAGAGAACTGCACATTTTCATGGCATTACTCACGGACATACCTGTTTTTGTGCTCATAATATTTGTAAAATTCGATCATTTACAACTGCCTTAATTATTATCAGATTGGCCACTAAAACCCGCACACAATTCCATTTTTAATAATGTTTGGAAGAATTAAAATGTGAAAATAAAATCACATCACTCCTACTTGTACGCTTATGACATGCACGGAAACACATCAGCTGAGAACTGACACATGACATGATTTTGAGAAGACAAACCATGCCACGATAAGCAAATATAGAAATAAGTGGTTGTAACAACAGAAGATCCAAGTGTGATTGCGCAGATTGGATATATGTATAGGAACACTAAGGGAAATACATAAACTTACTGTCTACTGTTTTGGAACTGAAGTACGGACAATAAAACCGTTAGTTTATCCATTAAAATAAACAGAATTTAGGGCAAGCGGTGGTACTAACATTTGCAGAGTTTTTAATAAATGTATTTAAAGTAACTGATTTGCCAGATAAAAATTAATCAAAATCACTTACCCATCTAAACTGTTTCGCTCTCTGTCCTTCAACTTGTCCTGATGCTGGTCGTAACGCAACTTTAGGGCCTTAAAAGTTTGTACGTAGCATATATCATCAAGACATTTCCCATAGTTCTCGACGACATGTGAACACAGAGTTTTAATATCTTCCAATTTGATAAACTCAAACATTTCTATAATAGCCGAGTCCAGAAGATTGTATCGCCCGTTATTCCTCACAAACGCGTCCACAACGGGGGCAAAGAGATTGCCCTTTATGATGTACCGGTTGTAAAACTCATCTTTCAAGGCAATCAATTTCCTCATAAACCTCAGCGCGCACAGCACGAGGAATTTATGGGTGGACTTCATTAAAACCAAGATTCTACGGAGCAAATCTTTGTTGAGTATGCAGTTTTTGATGTGGTAGGTGTGATGCTCCACGCAGAACGACAACAGCTCTAAAATTAAGCCTAGTAGCTGTACGCTTCTGTAGTCTTCCTTTTGCGGTTTGTCATGGACTGTGTTTTCCAAAAGGGGTGCTGCAAGAAAATCTGTTTCTTTGACATACTGATTGTTACCGGCTAATTTGAAAACTGATTCAATTTTTCTCATTAGATTTATTCAAATGTATTTAAAAAATTGAAAATTTTAAAGGTGACTATCCAAGACACTTCTTCGAAAACTCAATATTAATGGAGTTAGATCATCAAAACATTAATTTAACGAGCGTTCAAATAAAAACGTTGTCAAGTTGGTTCTGAAAATTTGGACGTAGGGGGTAGCGTATAGCAAATGAACTTAGACGTCATCTGTCAAAGCGCTATATCGCCACTATCAATTTGAATATTTTCGTTTTAAAAAACGTTTAAAATGGTGTTTTCTCAAGAACAAAAAGTGGAGTCCTACTTTAGAAATGGACGCAAGATTGATGGAATATGGAAGTATTCTATTGAGGAATGTTTCATAGAATTTCAAAATCAATTTCCCGGCGTTGTTGAGTACAAAATTTTTCAAAGTGCAGTTCAGCGTTGTTAATGTTTTTCGTGAAACGGGCAGTGTAACAAGAAAAGAAGGAAGCAGCCGACCTAAAAAGCGGACTGAAGAATTAAAAGAAAATGTCCAACAAATAATGGAAAATACGCCAAGAACTTCTGTATGTGTTTTATCACAAATGGTGGGAGTATCAGTCGGTACCTGCAACACAGTGTTAAAAAAAGATTTGCGTTTGTTCTCCTATCGTTTAACTTGTCAGCAAGAACTTCATGAAGTTGATTTTCCGCAACGGGCTGTATTTTGTGAATGGTTTTTAAACAACTACGGTGAACTTCATAATATCACCTTTTTTTCTGATGTAGCCTGGTTTCATTTAAGTGGTTACGTAAACTCACAGAATATGAGAATGTGGTCTTCTGAAAAACCAGATAAGTTTTTTGTCGAGGGCCCTCTACACGCTCAAAAAATTGGAGTTTGGTGTGCTCTCAATCGAAGGAGGATTTATGGACCTATTTTTTTAATGGTACTCTTACTGCGCAAAGGTATAGAGAAGATATTATCGCTCCTTTTGTTAACCAGCTGGAAGAAAACGAAATTACAAACTTTTACTTTCAACAAGATGGTGCAAGGGCACATACGGCAGGCGAGACGATGAATATGTTGAGGGAAGTTTTCCAAAATCGACTAATAAGTCTCAATGCTGAACATGAATTTCCACCGAGGTCATGTGATATTACGCCGTGTAATTTCTTTTTGTGGCCTTACCTTAAAAACACTATTTTTGAACTGCCTATTCCTGATTTAAACCATCTGCAGGCTCGACTTATAGACAAGATTCGTGAAATTAACAATACCCTGAGCATCTTAGAAAATGTCTTCAATTCTTTGAGGAACAGGTGTGAAAAGTGCTTGGAACAAGGAGGGGGACACTTTCAGCAGCTGCTTTAATTTATTGTTATAGGAAGGAGGGGGATACTTTCCGCAGCTCCTTTAATTGTTTGTTATTGTTATCACGATTATTCTTTAAAATAAAGTTATATAGTCATTAACGTTATTGAAACTGACAGCTGCTATACAGCTCGTTGAGAAATGAGGTTAAGTTGGTCGCTATAAGCTACACCCTACGTCCAATATGTCAGAGCCAACTTCGACCACGTTTTTATTTGAACGCTCGTTACATATTTTATAATAAGTTTAGTTTCAATTAATTGTTTTGAAATACATTTTTCTCTGAATCCAAATTTGGTAGGGTTATTATTGATAATACAGGCAAAAAAAATTAGGAAAATTGTGAAGCCCTTAAAGGGCTTGAAAAATTTGTCATATCTTTTTTGTTTGATTTTTCAATGAATTAAAAAGCTTAGTATTAGAGACAATTAAAAAATCTGCAATAATTACAATAAATCCATTTATACAAGAATTGTTACTTACCGATAAGAATCTGGACACTGTGCTTATAGAAGAAATTCAAGAAGTCTGTTTTTTCAGATTTATTAACTGAAGCCAGCATATTTTCCGGATCCAGCAATATTCTTAATACTCCCATCAATTGCACTGCTCCTCCTAATTCTGGATCTGTATCGCAGATCATTTGTTCTATGATAATATTTAGTAGCATTTGATCCTATAAATTCAAAACATAAATCATAATATAAACAGCAGTAATTAAACCTTCAAATAAATTAATTATCCATATTTAAGATTAATGAAGTAAACATATTATGAAATTTATGAATCTTTGTACCAGATGATATATTTTTAATTTAAAATAAACATATACAATAATATGAAATCGAGTTCTTAAATCTAATTAGATACTTTTTAAGTAAAAGTAGCCGAAACGAACATGACAAATTATTAAAATTTCATTTACTTATGTTTGATTGACTGAACAGTTACTTGCCACAACTCCTTACTTTTTGTGTGCTGGTCTGTAGACACTCATATAAATTTAAAAAAGGACTCTAAATTGTCTAACTCGTAACTTGAATGAAATACGGCTCAGGCAAGTGACGGGACTTATAACGGGACACTATCACTTTAGGATACATCTATACAAGCTGAGACTTATAAACAGTCCAGTATGCCGAGGACGTGACTTGACGGATAAACTTGTCTGTATATCCTGGGCGAGTGCCTAGGATTTGCACGTTGTAGAATGACGCATCAGGGAAAACCCTTTTTGGAACCCAAAGACCTGAAAGAAGTGTCGGCAAGGAAGCTTTTGGACTTTATTAAAAGGACAGAGCTACTTGCTGAATAGTTTGACCAGTGGGACGCACAAAGGGCCTAAGAAGGCTGCGGTGCTATGGGACTTGAATAGAACTTAACCACAGAAATAAGATGAAGAAGAACTCTTAAAAGATCTTATAAAATAGAACTATTCTAAAATATTCTCTGATTAGTATCATAGTATATGGTTTTTCTTTAAGTCTGGTACTCATCGATTTTATAATTCATGTATCAATGACAGCTTTTATATATCGTCGATGAGCCTTCAAAATGTGACATCTGCATATTTTCAGCAAAATGCGTTAGGTGTAGAATTCGATAGACGATATCAAACCGTGTTATCTTGTTAAAAACAGCCATCTTATTTTCTACAGAATTGTGTCTGCAGTAAAATTAAAAATAACTCATTGAAGAATTAGATAAAATAGATGTCGCATTTTAAAGGCATAACGACGAAATCTAGTGCAAAAATTAATGTTTACAAATTGAAGGTGACATATTACACTCGTAGTAATAACCTTGATACTGTTAACATTAAATAAGTCACTATAAATGAATTCGGTTTTGTCAGACTTTGTTGTCCTTTCCGGACATTCAAAAATATCTGGTATCCCTCCAGAAATATTGAATACTGCGATGAAAGCTATGCTAGATTTGCTGCCAGAAAAATTTAAAAAAGCAGTGTGAAATTGTTTGTAGGAAATTTAAAGAATGATGTCAATGAAACCTGATAAATTTACCTAAAAATATGTTTTCTTATTTTTTGGAAAAGTTTTGAAAATCTTCATTATAATCTGAATGAATGTAATGAAATCTTTGCAGTAACATGTATACATTATAAGCTGATTTTGTTCTAATAAGACAATATATGAATTTGAAAGCGTACTTTTCTGCACTTTACCGACAATGTGCATCATTCAAAACATTAGAAGTGGTATAAGTAGTACTTTTGACATGAAAAAATCGTTTTAATGACTGTAGAAAAATACATCATTAACAATATTAAAAACTTCTACACAAAACATATTTTATAGCTACCTATTACTGCGACAAGTTATTCTAGTAGAGAACATATTTCCAAAATTACTGCTAGCTTGTACATTTAAAAACTATAGTTTAGTTGTTGGTAGTAAAACTTCTTAAAATTGTATGCAGCTCAAATTAAAGGGAATATGAAAAGACAAATTATTATTACTTTTTTGTAATGTATTGTTTGTTACAAATCTGATAGAAATTTAGATGTTAAGGTATTTTTTCAAAATAAATACACAAGGTGACTGGAATTAACAGAAAAAAATTAATAGGAGGTGATTTTATTAATAAAAATAATGGTGTAGGTTGCTATGGCACTTTTTTTCAAACTTAATACACTTATTACTGGTAAGAAATTGCACCTATTAAAAAAAAAACTTGAAAGCCGTAAAGAATGAAAATGGTCCTTTTTGAAATTTATTAACTTTTTTATTTTTTGTTTTTCTAAAAATTAAACAGTTTCAGTTTAAAATATATTTAAAAATTTTGTAAAACGGACTACTTGTTCTAAGTTAATAACATGAAGGCTGGCATTTTATAGATAAGAAATCGCACTTTTAGTAATTAATTAACAAGTACTTCCATCCAGCAAGTGATGAAGCCTAAAACTAATCTAGAGCAACTTCCTTTAGTAGGTACCGTAAGTTCTAAAGTTCTAAATATTTAATAGGCAAGCAAAATTCAGGAAAAGTAAAATAAACGAAGAAAAATATTTTTTTTCCTTATTTTGAATGTATTGTCAGTAGTTGTCTTATGCCCTGAAGAAAACTTATATAACTGGTACAGTGAAGAGAATCACAATGGTTAAAAATTTAAATTTAATAATTTCCCAGAATTTTAACAACAAATGGTGTCACAAAAAATAAATGCGGTTTTTCTTAGAGACAGTTACAAACAACAACAACAACAACAAACAAGAATTTATATTTAGAGTTGGATTAACCTATGGTGAAGCACGGAGCTACAAGTTTCACGGATGCCCTTTTTCTAATAAAAACCAAAAAAAAAACCAAACCTACACACTTTTTGATTTCATTTTGCCAGATCTTGCCGAGGCCCTCCGAACTCGTGAGCACCAGGGCTATAGCCCCCCTAAAGCGGGGCCTGCTTATATTCTTAATGATCTTTAAGAGGAATATATTTAATTACTTGAAAAAATATAAATTAAAAAAGTCATGATCAATTTTCATGCAAATAAGGGCATTTTAAGCCCTTTAGGGCTTTAGAACTTTAATAAATTTAATTGTATGTGCAATCTTGTTCATCAAATTTGGAAAAAATTGTTACACTGAAAAGAAAGATACGGAAAAAAAATTAATTAATAAAATAACATCGAGGTTAAATAAACCATATTTTCACAAGTATGTAGGTACCTCCTAAATCTTTTGCTCATAATTTAAAGACGCCCTGCATGTACAGCTCACAAAATTTCATATGAAATAAACCCTTTACAAAAACATTTTTGTAATATGTATGTACTACCAGTAATAATTATTTAAAATTAGTTAAATGTAATTGTTAAGAAGAATTGTAAGAAGCTGCATGAAGTCTATAAAAACAAATTAGCTATTTATTTTACTGTAAAAATAATTTCAAAGTATTTTCAAAAATGAATTTGATTAAATGAATTAAAAAGTAAACTTACATATTTCTTTGTAAACGTCATATATGAATCATTTTGGTTTTACGGATTGCAAAATATTTAGACCGTTATTCTATAATCCTGTAATTATTGTATAACTACTTATAAAAAAAATTATACCTCATCAGTGTTGCTGGCTTGCTGTAGGGTGTACTCCCGCACTACAGAGGGTGAAAACTCGACAATATACGTGAGTATATCTATGGAGGCAGTCTTGGTCTTCTGGTCATCCATAGCCAAGGTGATTTCCAGCGCAGGCAATATCCCCAGAGTTGTCAAAGTTTTATAAAACGACTCTTTAGCTTGGGGTTGCAAATTTTGCGAGTAATTACAAAACTCTTTTAAAAACAGTACCAAGTCCCTTCTTTTAAAATCAGGTGTGTTTAAATCAGTTAACATAGTAAACAGTTCCGTCAAAAACTTTTCATCCTCCTGGACCAAGGATACTATTTCGACTTTGTTAAAAAATATAAAACTGCTTAGTGTTGATAACATGTTCTCCTCGAAAACGGAAGGCGTTGGAAGGACCACGTCTTGTATATACTGAACACGGAAAGTTTGATGAATTTTTGACAGCAATTCGGCATTCTTTATGGGAATGGCTTCTCTGAACTTGGCCTGCTGCCGTAAATATTCTCGATGCCTTTTAGGTGATGGAGATGCAGGATCGTATTCTAAACAACCCACGACATCGAAGATTATTTCATCACTAAACATAACCTCAAACAAAACATTTTTATTTAGTAGAAATATATTTTTGAATATGTCGTATAAATGGTGTAACCCTTCTGTATTCTCTAAATCTTCACACATGTGAAACAAATTAATAAGTTTTCGTATATAACTTTCACTTTCTATAGCAGCAGCCAACTTTTCTTTCCTCATCGGGGAACTTAAACAATTGCTTATTAATTCACTTATATCTTCTAAACGACTAAGTTCACAACTCGGTAATTCAATTGGTGGAGCAGAATCTGACATGTCATCAAACCGCTCATCTTCAGATTCTTCAACAATATCTTGTGTAATTTCGACAGAAGGATCCTTACCTTGAACCTGACAAATTTTTTCCCAAATTTCATCACAACCTAATTTTTCCTGAAAACTTAATGCTAAATCAAAATTGTCACCTTCTGACCACACAATTAAAGTATCTTGTTGTTTTTGGTAGGCAGTGTCTGGTTGAATTTTAGATTCTAACAGTAGCGACCCATCACTTTCTGCACGCACAAGTAATGATATTCCTTTTAATCGATCCACATATGATGAAGAAACATGACCCGTACCCCTATCGTCCCATTGTCTATCCGCATTTAATGCATAAAGTTTTACTCTTCTTCTTGTATCAGTCATGATTGTAATTTTCTAATCCTTTTCAGTATACTGGCAAATTTCCCACATTCCGCCTGCAATAAAAAATATAAAATTTGACATAATATAATCATAAACATAACATTAATGTCAACTTAATTACTTAATCCCAATAATCTTTGGAACTTACTTCTTCGTTAAAATTTAATAACAGATCTCTAACCAGAATAATTTACAGAAAAACCCGTTAATTACAATTTATATATCACAACCTTTGTATGAAAATTTTACTAATTTACTAAATGCAAACACGCTTATCCAAAGTACACAGTGCACATTAAGTAAATAGACATATACCATCTCAGCCTCATTAGAAACATTGAGATTTTTCTAATATGACAAACTGTGTTTAACTTTTACTTTCCTAGTAAGATATTTTTGACTCATTTTCGTAAACGGACACAACACTAATCATCGCCATATTGAATTCACAACAACGCTCAAATGAAGTTCACAAGGGCAAACGCAAGGGCACTGCGCATGTTAAAGCGCCAATTTTAAATTTATATTTCGGCTGTGATATAATTTCTATGTACCTCTAATTGTAAGCTTTAAATAAAATGGTTTCACTAACTTTTTGATGATACGCATTTTGTATTTGGTAATTAATATAATTCTGGATAGGTATTTAAGGGCTTTTATATTTTTAATTCTTATGAATTCCGGGTACAGTATCTGATACCACTTCAAATGGAGACAATTCCACAAATAGCATAATCATAATATGCTTTATGCCCACCTCCCTTTAATGACATGACTTATTTGCAACAGGTGATGATAATATACTTACTGGTCAAAAAAAGCCATTAGTTTTATAAAGCTCTGTATATCTAATAAAAAAAGAAATTTGTAACTAGGTACCTAAAGCTAAGTTTATACATTTAAATACCTATCTAGTGTAACAGTCAAAATACAACATATAGGTATATTTTTTTTTGTTTTAAAAAGAAGTTTTCTAGGTGACGATGGTATATAAAATTTAGCATTTTGTTTCACACAATTAAATCATTCTGTTTTAAATATTGAATTTAGTTGGATTGTTGAATTTGAAAATCCCGCTCTAACGTCAAACTTTCCTTTTATAGGATGACATCAAGGACAGGGTAGGCTCTAGACTATTATAGGTCCAAATCACCATAACTATTTATACTCCGCGGTCGAAATTATAGAGAGTGACTAAGACATAATATAAAAACATTATTACCATAATGCGTATAAAATATAAAATGATTTTTATACGGTTCAATATCATATATCTTTGTGCCGCTCGCTACGCACATCGATAGAATCTATAATCGTCTAGAGACCGAGTTACACTGAACGTCGATCTATATTCTATCTCTCTTTTGCACTTGGTAGGGAATAGGGAAATGCTTTTTTAGTGGGTGTAAACGGACTTGATTTAACCCGTCCTGAGAAACGTCATAGCATAAGCGTAGACGAGGGGTCTAATTCCATGGCTATAATAAATTTATAAATTAAAAAAACACAATTGGGACGTTTTAAAATGTGGTATTTCTCGTCCTGGTGGTTCGACGATCGAATTTTGGAAACATCGGCGATTTTGTGCATCTTCTCGGCCATGTCGGAGGTGTACGACTTCGTTCGTGTGCCTGCCGACATCGATGCGGTCTCCGGAGCCATTACATATTGATCGCGCCGTCTGCGAAGCTTCATGCGGAATCTTCGAAACATACCCAATTTTGTATATTATCTCTTAATGATGTTGGATGCGCGCAGCGTTCGCCTGAGTGTTTGCTTGCACCGACATGACGACGTAGCGGGCTCTGGCGCGATGGGAGGCCGATTGCGTCGTCTGCGGCATTTCGCGTGGTATGAACGTCCGCAAATTTTTCAAATGTAGTGCGAATCCGTTTTTTCAGTTTGTGGAGCTGTAACGAATATTGTGGATGCTGATTTTATGCGGATTGACAAGTGCATTGGAAACATATTAAGCAAGTTCGCTCGCCTTACATTCTACGACATTATCTCTGACCTACATTACATAAGAAACGCGCAGACATGCACGAAAATGCCTATACTCCGCGGTCGAAATTATAGAAAGTTAGTCAGACATAATATAAAAACACTATTACCATAATGCGTATAAAATATAAAATGATTTTTATACGGTTCAATATTATTTATCTTTGTGCCGCTCGCTACGCACATCGATAGAATCTATAATCGTCTAGAGACCGAGTTACACTGAACGTCGATCTATATTCTATCTCTGTCTTTTGCACTTGGTAGGGAATAGGAAAATGCTTTTTTAGTGGGTGTAAACGGACTTGATTTAACCCGTCCTGAGAAACGTCATAGCATAAGCGTAGACGAGGGGTCTAATTCCATGGCTATAATAAATTTATAAATTAAAAAAACACAATTGGGACGTTTTAAAATGCTGTAATAATTAAAATGGATCAAAGTGCCTGTTATAGCAAACCGTAAAAAATATTAGATGTTATGTTTTATTATCTTTTTTCATTATTTTCTATATCTTGTTGCCTTTTACGCAGACACGCCAATGGATTTTCGTTCCCGGCACGCTTCATCC